GGCCACAGGAGCGCCATCTCCTTTCTGAGGACCCTCCTGACCCTAATGGTTTCCCAGGTTCGGGGGTAGGCCCCACACTGAGCCTGGAGGGTAGGGGGGGCCGAGAGGGTGGGGCCCTGTCCTTGCTGAGCGGGCAGGCCATGCCCAACTTCGGGGTTTCCTGCTGGCCTGGCTGCCGGGGGTGACCCGGTGGGACCTCAGAACTGTGGGTGTTGGGGGAGTGGGCATGGAGGCTGGGGAGGACACACGTGTAGTCAGCCCAGCCCTGAGTCTGTGGGGCCAGCTGCCACCCCTGACAGGTGTCCCCAGCCAGCTCCTAATCTCAGCGCTCCCATGTCACCAGCTGTTGATGCTGTGCCCCGTGCAGCTCCGCTCAGGGTCTTGTCCTGATACTGCCACCTCTGGGGTGCATTGGCGACAAGGTCAGAGGTCAGAGGGCACTCTCTGCCCAAGGCTGGTAGTCTTCCCCTGCCCATGGAGATGCCATATGGGCAGGGAGAGTTCCCCACACTGACTCCGCCTCCCTCAGGCCCCGTGCCCGCCCCCACGTTGGCTCAGCCTGGAGGGTACTGTCCCTGGTCAGAGTCACGCTTCAGGAGACCTCATCCGTGGGACCCTGTGGTCTCAGGAGCCCCTGATGTGGGCTAGGGATGGAGTTCAAGGCCAGATCCTCGCCACACTGCAGGTCCTACCCCACCCAGGCCTGAAACCCAACCCTGCTGCATCCAGCATGCGTGTTCTCTGGTCCCCTTGTACACGCATATCCCACCTGTGTGTTCTGGGCCCCCCGTGCTTGCAACCCACACGTGTGTTCTCAGGGCATCTCCATGCCCGCATCCTGCACGCATGTTTCAGGACACCCCATGCCCGCATCCCACACGCGTCACCTGGGAGCCCCTTGAGCCTCTCAGGTTCATTGCTGTGGGACAAGCCTCTGCACTTGGGCTGGGAGCTGCGGCAGTCCCTGTTCAGGACACACACATAGGCCCGACCCTCCTCTCCACTGCAGAGCTGGGCCAGGCCTGTGCCTGTCCAGAGGACAGTCGAATACAAGTGACCTCTGGCCTGGGTACAGTGGGGCGTGTGTGGCCCCTGCCCTGAGTACAGTCGGGCACGTGTGTGGCCCTTAGCCTGGGTGCAGTTGGGTGTGCTGGGACCTTGGCCTGGGTACAGTCGAGTGGGGTGCACGTGGCTCCTGGCCTGGACATAGTTGGGTACACGTGGCCCCAGGCCTGGCTACAGTTGGACACGTGGCCCCCGGCCTGGGTATAGTCGGGCGTGTGTGGCCCCTGGCCTGGCTATAGTCGGGCGCGTTGTAGCCCCTGGCCTGGGTACAATTGGACATGTAGCCCCTGGCCTGGCATCAGCAGAGGCAGTGTCCTTGGGGCTCATGGCCTTCCTGCTCCTCAGGTGTGTGGAGGTCGTTGTGCGGAGACAGTTGGGGAAGGGACACCCCATATTCCTGGGACCCAGACATGAGACCCTCAGGCCATTCTTGATACAGGCTGCCCCACTGTGGCCCTCACTCTGGTGGACTCAGACCTGTGCTCTGTGGCCTCTGGGGTGCCCTGCACTGCCGCAGTGACTGTCCTTGGCACAGACAACCCTCCATTTCCACCCAGCTTTCTCTGGCCTCCCGCAGGCATTGAGACTTGGTCACAGTGGAACCAGGAGTGACCCCACGCTGCTCCCTGAGGCTGCCCCCCCCCCAACCGGGTGCCTTCTCAAGGCTCAAGTGATGAGCCACTGCAGAGCTAAACCCAGGTGGGGCAGGGGCTGGCGGGGGGGGGGGGGCGGTGGCTTGGGGGCAGCTGGTGGCTTCATGCACAGCTAGTGCTGGGGACCAATGGCTTCTCACAGACCAGAAACGTGCTGGATGTGGACAGAGGTGTGTGTGTGTGGGGGGGGGGGGGGCGGGCAGAATAAATGCCACAGAACTGCCCCTGTTAAAAGGCTTCTCTCAGCCAGAGCCATAGTATATAATGGGAAGGGCGCTGGCTTTGCATGCTGCTGACCTGGGTTCGATCCCGACACCCATGGTGGTCCCCCAATCCTGCCAGGAGTCAGCCCTGAGCATCAGGGGTGTGGACCCAAAACCAATCAAAACTAAAGATACATCTTTAAAAAATAATTTTTTAATGGCATCACTGTAAGATACACAGTTACAAAGTTGCTCCTGATGGGGTTTCAGTCTTAGTGTTCCAACAGGGTGCGTTTCAGCCACCATTGTCCTAGACTGCCTCAGTGGCAGGCACTTTTCTTCTGTCTCTTTTCCCCCCTTTTCCCCTCATGGCACTGTGGTTTGCAATACCGTTTCTGGAAGGACGTCGTCATATCACTTAATCTCCTTTCAGTACCCAGTTCTTGTCAGAGTGATCATTTCTAACGATCATTGTCACAGTGTCTGTCTAGCATTGTCTCTGTCCTAACTAGTCTCCCTACCCCACCCCCAGCCCCACACACGGACCAGCCCTCCTGGCCCTTGCTTCTGTTGTCTTTGCATTTTATTCTCATGTTTTGTTTTTTTTATATTCCGCAAGTGAGTGTGATCATCCTATGCCTGTCCCTCTCCCTCTGCCTCATTTCACTCAGCACGAAGCTCTCCATGTGCATCCATTTGCAACGTATAAGCAGATTTCATGACTTCATTTTTTTCTGGTGACTGCGTAGTATTCCACTGTGTAGATGTACCATGGTTTCTTTATCCACTCATCTGTTCTCAGGCACTCAGGTTGCTTCCAGATTCTGGCTATTGTGAACAATGTGGCAATGAACATAGACGTGCAGATGGCTTTACTGCTGTGAGTTTTTGGACCCCGGGGCATATTCCCAGGAGTGGTGTTAATGGATTATATGGAAGCTCAATTTCTAGGTTTTTGAAGAATATTCATATTGTTTTCCAGAAAGGCTGGGCCACTTGGCATTCCCACCAACAATGAAGGAGTCCCTTTCTCCCCACATCTGCGCCAGCACTGGTTGTTCTTGTTCTTTTTGATGTGTGCCAGTTTCTGTGGCATGAGATGATGTCTCATTTGATTTGCATCTCCTTGATGGTTAGTGATATAGAGCACTTTCTCATACTTGTTTTGCCTTTTGTAGTTCTTCATTGAGGAAGTTTATGTTCAGCTGTTTTCCCCATATTTTGATGGTGTTGGATGTATTTTTCTTGTAAAGCTCTACTAATGCCTTATCTATTTTAGCTATTAACCCCTTATCAGACGACTCAACACTAGTAAAAATTTCTCCCAATATGTGTGTTGTCCTCCGGTTTGTCATCTTTACTTGCACTTGATCAGTGGTGCTTCACCCTTGAATGTGACTTTATCTTCAGTGTCATGGAGGTTTCTTCTTATGTTTTCATCTATTCCCCTTATGGACTAGATCTGACAGCACGGGTTCGATCTGCTTGATTTAACTTCTGGGCACAGCATTAGAAAGAGGCCTGGGTTCATTCCTTTGCATGGAGCACCCAGGTTTCCCGTTGACGCATCCGGCATCCTGAGCCGGGCACACGGCAGGGAAGAGGCAGGCTCCTGGGGGCCGTGCTGGGGCTCTGTCCTTCTGGGTATGTGAGACCCTCACATCTGAGCTGAGTTAGGGGCCGGAGCAGGTTCAGCAGGGCCAGGGCTCACGGTGTCTATCCCTCTGTCCGTTCAGCCTTGCTGGCCCTCCCCCGACTCCCATGAGTGCATGTTGTGCCTCTCCTTCCGCCCTTCAGGGTGCTCTCAGGGGCCTTACCCTTGTCAGACCCCACCTTCTCTGCCTCTGCTGGGGGCTACAGACCCCAGGTCACTCAGCTCGGCTGTGGGAGATGCTGGAACTTTGGGGGGCTGTCCCCAGAAATCTGCCTGGACCTCCGAGGAAGGGAAGACCAGCAGTGCAGTGGAAGGTGCCCCAGGCACCGGTCTTGGAGCCCCATGGAGGCCCAGGGAGATGAAGGCCCCTGGGGGCGCGGTAAGAAGCCTCTGGAAACATCATATGGCCGCTTGGGCCCCTGGTGGGGCATGCTCTGGAGGGGGGAAGGCAGCAGGCCCCGACCCCACAGGCCCACCCGTCCCTGTGCCTGCCGCCTCCCCCAGCTACCTGAGCCTGCATCCTGAGTCATCTGCCCCTCAGCACGGCGGCGGCCACGTGAGCCCTGGAAGGTATTTTTGGTTGTTTTCCGGCTATAAAAAGGCTGCCTGTGTCTGTCATAGGCTGCCTCTGCCCCGGGGCATGTGCTCCACTGCTGTGGCCCCTGTGGGGCCACATCCCAGCCACGCCCTTGAGGTCCCCGAGCTGAGCTGCCAGAGTGCTCCAGGAGTCTGCAGCCGGCTGTGTCCCAGAATGGTGGGCCTGAGGCCCCAGCCCTGTGCTGGGGGAGGGTGCTGAGGGTAGTGGCCCGCTCCCGGCACCTTTACCTGCTGGCACCAGGCCGGGGAGGTGCGCCCCCTTCCAACCCCCACTGCCCCCATGTCCAGTGCTCCTCCTGCTCCAGGTGTGAAGACCCTGTGTGCCCAGAGTCTATGCCCGGGGCTGGCTCCACTCTCCTCCTGGCCCCATTGCCTACACCCCAGCCTCTGAAGGGCAGATGTGCGACCCAGGGTTAGGGCGTGCTGGGGACCTCGAGTCTGCCGCTGTGGACCTTCCCCTGGACAGCATGGCCCTGGGGCGTCCTGCAGGCAGAGGCCCGTCCACCCCTGGGCGTCCTGTGTAGTGTTTCAGGATGGTGTTCCAGGACCAGAGCTTCTGTGTCCTGGGGGCAAACCCTCTGAGAAAATGCCTCCTGCTTGATGCTGTGGCAGCTCCTGACCTGGGGGAACTGGGTGGAGAATATTCTGGAACACGGGTGGGGCTACGCATTTGCCTCTGTTGACTCCCATGGTCGGTGGCCCTCCTTGCTGACCCACTCCTGGAGCCCGGGCCTGTCGCAGGGACCCAGCCTTGGGTGCTTGCCCTTGGAGTGCTAAGGTGTTGGGGATGGGAAGGACCCTGTACCGTCCACTGTCCTCCCCCCACAGAGGTCCGACCCGCAGCTGCTCGCCCAGTTCTACTATGCTGATGAGGAACTGACCCAGGTGGCCGCGGAGCTGGACAGCCTGGACGGGCGGAAGGACCCGCAGCGCTGCACTCTGCTTGTCAGCCAGTTCCGCTCCTGCCAGGTGGGGCCAGTGCTGAGGCGTCTGCACCCCCAGACGACCACCCCCCGAGACCTAGCCTGCCCCTCCTGGGTTTGGCAGTCCCATCCATAGCTCGGGGCCAGGGTGCCCCTCACTCTTTTGCACCCCAGAGAACATCTCAGGAAATCCCACCCCACCCACCTCACGTCTGCTGCCCTCCCTGCACCTTGGTCTCTCTTGGATGCCGTCCAAGGGCTCTGCCTGGCGCCAACCCAGCACCTCAGATGCCACAGCCGTGCCTGCCTGGCCCTTGTGGGGCAACAGCTGAGAGGGGTCACAGAGTTGGAGTGGAGGCGTGGGCAGTCCGGGGTGTCTGACAGGGAGGGACTGTGGAACTGGGTACCTTGAGGTGTCGGCAAGGCCTTGGTGCCCCGCCCTAGCGGCCACAAGGGCAGGGCCTGGTCATCACCATGTCCATCATCAGGACACTCGCCTCTGAGGTGCTGGGGCCTTGGTTCCGTATCCTGCTACCCACTGAGGCTGGACAGTCCCGGGTATCCCCGGGGTTCTCGCTGGAGGCTCCATTCCCTGCGAGGCCTCAGCAATGCCACCCCCAAAGGCCAGGCCCCAGGCGCCCAATGGCGAGCACAGAGGTGGCGGGCCCCAGCAGAGACCTGTGGGGGAGGGAGCCCCTGGGCCCTGAGCAGGCATGTGCACATGCCCGGCCGTGGCCCAGCCTCAGCGCCCCCTCCCTGCAGGACAACGTGCTGACCATCATCAACCAGATCATGGACGTCTGCATCCCGCAGGAGCGCGCCCCCAGGGACTTCTGCGTCAAGTTCCCTGAGGAGGTCCGGCACGACAGCCTGGCCGGCCAGCTGTGGTTTGGGGCCGAGGTAGGGCCTGTCCGTTCCTGGGCGCCTACTTGCATGGGGCTGCCCGGGGGACTCTGACACCAACCTCAGCCTTTCCCAGCCCAATGGGGAAGCTGAGGCATGAGAAGACAGCTTGCCCCAGCCAGTGGCTCCTGCCCGCACCTATCACAGTTGGGGTGCGGGGGCCCCATCTTGCTCCATCTCTGCGTAAACCCCAGGAATACCTGTTTATCTTCCACACTTCCTGGTGCCTGCTGCCCACCTCTCCCACCCCCTCTCCACCCCTCTGCTCTTGCCCACGTAGGAGCTGCCTGGTTGGGGGACAGTGTCCGTCTCACCTCTAGAGTGGGGTTGGGGAGCTGCTGTGGGCAGGGGCAGTGTCCATGGATCTCATGCTGGCCGTGGGGCCCAGGGCAGGGGGACCCTGGAGCGGAGGGGTGGGGCGCACATGGCAGTGGCAGTGATCTGGCACTCCTGCAGTGCCTGGCCGCCGGCTCCATCATCATGAACCGGGAGCTGGAGAGCTTGGCCATGCGGCCCCTGGCCAAGGAGCTGACACGCAGCCTGGAGGACGTGCGCGGCGCGCTGCGGGACCAGGCGCTGCGGGACCTGGGCACCTACACCGAGAAGATGCGTGAGGCCTTGCGCCACTTTGACGTACTCTTTGCTGAATTTGAGCTCAGGTGAACTGTGGGTGGCGGTCACGGAGGCCCTCACGGTGGTCACGGCAGGCCCTCACGATGGTCATGGGGGCCCCTCACGGTGGTTATGGCAGGCCCTCACAGTGGTCACGGTGAGCCTTCACAGTGATCACGGGGGATCCTTGAGCCCCATGTCTGTCCCCCCTGCCCGTGCCCCGCAGCATGTCTGGGCACAACTGGGGCGCGATGTAGGACAAGGTGGGCCTGGGACACTCGTCCCCCTGCGTGGCTGTGGGGAGTCTGCTGGGGCATTGTCCCTCTCATGCCCAGCTCCGGGAGCTGTCCCACGGGGGTCACACTTGGGAGGGGCTGGCGTCCGTGTCTAGGGGTCCCAGAAGGAGCAGGAACCGTGCCAGGCCCATGCCTTCTCCCTCTGGTTTCCTAAGGGCCAGACTCAGACACCCCAAGGATGGTGCCACCTGCCTGGTGCCCTCAGCGGATGCCCTGGGTCCCCCCTGCAGGCACACAGCCCACCCCCCTTTGCTGCAGGTAGGGCTGGGGCCAGGAAGCTGTATCAGGCACCACCTGGGCCTTTGATTTTTAAGACTAGAGGCCACCCCCAGTGTCCCCGACTGGGCCCCGCCATAGTCAGGGAAGCAGTCACGTGACCCTGGTGGCCCCAGCCTACTCGCCGCCATCTCCGCAGCTATGTCTCAGCCATGGTGCCCGTCAAGTCCCCGCGGGAGTACTATGCGCAGCAGGAAGTCATCGTGCTCTTCTGTGAGACGGTGGAGAGGTGAGGCGGGCAGTGCCCCCTCTACTGCCCGATGGGGGAGGGCAGGAAGCACCTTTCTTTGGCCCCAGAGTGTGGGGCGGCCCTTCTGTTCACTGGATGAGGCTTCCAGCTTGTACCCCCCTCCCCCACCAGGGCTCTGGACTGCGGCTACCTCACCCAGGACATGATCGACGACTATGAGCCGGCACTCATGTTCACCATCCCCCGGCTGGCCATTGTGTGGTGAGTGGCCTCTTGGGCCCCGCTCAGCTCCTGGCTGGGGTGAGCACTGGAGCCCCGTGCCACAGAGCAGAGGGTTCTCAGAGCTGCCCTGCTTCTCTGAGCCCTCCTGGCTGGGCTGGGATCCCTGAGCCGGGGCCCCCATGGTGCTCCCCACAGCCCCGGCCCGTGAGGGCAGGGCCCTCCTTCCTGTCCCCGTAGAGCACAGGTCACATCCTGGCCACATCCCTGCCACCACATCCCAGTCACCACCCCCTGGCCGCACATCCAGGCCATGTCCATGCCACCATACTCTGGCCGCCACGTCCCAGTGACACATCCCGGCCACCGTGTCCTGGGGAGGACAGGTGGGAAAGCCCCTGGAGCAACACCAGGCCCACTTATGATCCTGTCCACACCTCCCTTGTCCTCCCCAGACTGAGGGCGCTGGCCGGAGGGGACTGATGGGACCCAGGAGGCATGCTCACTGTGGACACCCCTGTCCATCACTGCCTGCTCAGAGCTGCTCCCGGGGCCACACTCCAACCTGAAGATCCCAGCCCTGTCCGCACCCCACCCCCTCCCCCCGACCTCTGCCCTCACTTCACCCCACCCCTGTCCACTTTCCACCTCACCCCTGCTTGCATCCCACCCCTCACCCCTTCCTGCACTCACCCTTGCCTGCCACCACCCCTCCGCAGCCCATACCCCATCCCCACACCCCCACCCCTGCCTACCACCACCCACCAGTGCCTGTACTCCACCCCACCCCTTTCTGCATTCCATCCCTGCCTGTCACCACCCACCTCTGCACCTCTGACCTGAGACATGGGGTGTGGCTGGGCAGCAGCGAGCCGTGACAGCCAGCCTCACCCTGAAGGCTCTCGGGGTCTCTTAGCACCTGTTGGCTTTTGCAGGACCAGGGCTCAGTCCGGCCTCACCCATGCGAGGGTTACCCCGCACCCCCCACTAAGCGAGATGGTTTGAAGGGGTAGAAACGTCCAACGCCCTTGTCAGAGACTTAGCAAGCGCCATGGACCAGAGTCAGCCCACAGAAACCTCCTGCCAGTGCACGAGAAAGTGAGGGATTCGTGGCGGCTGTGGTGGGCTTGGACACCAATCCATCCCTCTTGGGAGTAGCCGTTCTCCTCACGGAGGCCCAGAGATGCCCCTGGTTCCTGGCTGCCCTCCCCACACCATGTACCCGGTGCCCCCCTCCAACCCTCTACATTCCACTCTGCTCAGCACCCCCTGGGAAAGGCCATGGCTCTGCATTCAGAGTTTTCCAGAAGTTGTCAATGGGGTGTGGTATTGGGGCCCCTGCGGGAAGGATGGTGCCCCAGGACCTGGCGGCTGTAGTCGGAGCCATGGCCTGGTCTTTGGAGTCCTGTGATGGAGTTCCAGCCACACACTGCGGGACTCAGGACCCACTTCCCACTCACAGCTTATGAGAGTGACCTTCACTGCTGTTCTTAGAACCGTCCCCTCACCCTAGCTCTCCCCCGCGGCCAGAGCAGCTTGGACTCACACCCGAGGGGCCGGGGGTGCAGGGCACTGGGGGGGTCTCCAGGCTCCCCGCATGCTGCGGGCACAGAGCTGCATGCACGGGCTCCCACCGTGGGGCCACACGTGATGGGGAACGTGGGAAGGTTCAGCTGCCGCTGCTCAGCTCACAGATGAGCCCTGCGTGCTGGAGCAAGCAGGGGCAAAGGTGCCCGCCCACACGTCGCCGCAGCCTCCTCCCCCCAGCCTGGCCTCGTCCACTGTCCTCTGGATTTACTGCTGGGCGCCTCCTGTGCGTGGGCTGCAGAGTGGAGTTCAGACTCAGCCGCGCCCTGGCAGGAGGCAGGCTCCCCCCAGGGAGGCTCAGCGACCTCACTCACACTGTGCAATGTTTCTGGGAGGCCTGGGAGTCGCACCCAGGACCTCACACACCGCTCCGACGCTCCGAGCCTTGCCAGCACCTCAAGGGTTTTGTTTCTGTTTGATTTTGGGGTTTGGGGTTGTTTTGGTTTTAGGCCACACCAGGCAGTGTTTAGGCACTCTCCCAGCTCTATGCTCAGGGGTCACTCCTGGGGCTTTTGGGGGGTCCCTGTGGTGCTGGGGATTGAATCAGGGCTTCATATGGAGCAGGAGAAATGCCAGCCCGCTGAACTCCTTCCCTGGCCTGCTACAGTAATGTTCATAAGGAATAAAGGTGCTGTGGGCCAAGTGCCCCCACCCCTGAAATATAGAGCACCCGAGACAATGAGAGAACCGAGCACATGTGATGCTGTCCCCTCAGGGACGGGAGACTCACAGTGACCACGCTTGATGCTGTCCCCTCAGGGACGGGAGACTCAGCAGTGACCACGCGTGATGCTGTCCCCTCAGGGACGGGAGACTCAGCAGTGACCATGCTTGATGCTGTCCCCTCAGGGACGGGAGACTCAGCAGTGACCACGCGTGATGCTGTCCCCTCATGGACGGGAGACTCAGCAGTGACCACGCTTGATGCTGTCCCCTTAGGGTTGAGAGACTCACAGCAGTGACCACGCATGATGCTGTCCCCTCAGGGATGAGAGACTCAGCATTCACCACACATGATGCTATCCTGTGGGACAGGAGACTCACAGTGAACACGTGTGATGCTGTCCCCTCAGGGATGGCAGACTCACAGCAGTGACCACGCGTGATGCTGTCCCCTCAGGGACAGGAGACTCAGCAGTGTCTGGGCAGTGACCCCCACAGACCCTGTGGACCGCAGGCGTTCCCTGTCAATACCCTACTGAAGTTACTTTGCAGAAAAGGAAATGAGCCTCAGATTCAAATGGACCCACAATAAACCCCCAAATAAAGTGGAACCAAGTTGGGGGCCTCACCCCTTCAATTTATAGCTTTGAGCCAAGCACCTGCAGGGGGCCGGCATGAGGGCACCCAGAACCTGGTGTAGAGCTGGAAAGACGTGAAGGTCATTGGCTCCTTCCTGCATGGGGACAGGCCTGGACATCCTGGCGCCTGTGGCTGTCTGTGGGTGATGTACGCACTGGAGCCCCTGGCTGTGTGTGAGGCGGGGCCGGGGCTGGACCTCGTCCACCCTGGGGGGACTGAAGAGGAAAGGCCGAGTCCCTGAGGGGGAGGGGTCCTGCATCCTGCCCACCCTGGGCACTCAGGCTCCAACCTGCGCCCCCAACCCCTCTTTAGATTTACAGCCCCCCATCACGTGAACCGACTCCAGGTACCTGGGCCGGGCTCCCTGTATGGGTGAGTCCTGCGTTCTGTTCCCACACTCCAAATCAGTGAGTGACTACATATCCCCCTCCCCTCTCCCCACCTGCTCTCCCTCCCCTGCTTGCTCTGTCCGTGTGTCTGTCATCTGTTCATCTCTCTGGTGCACACACATACTCATGTGCAGGCATACACATGCACGCACAGGCACACGCACATACACACACCTGCGTGGGCACTTCTGACTCTGTCCAGAGAACTTGGGCACAGGAGACAAACCTTCCTGTTGGCCCTTGAATGACAGGCAAAGTGACTGAGCATTATCATAGTGACAACTGGAGGACAAAAGTGAGGCCACTGCCTAGAGAGAAGGGGAAAAGGTGACTCCCCACGTCTCTGCCCTGCTCCCCAGGGCTGTCAGCAGGGCCAGCCCGGAGGCCCCATAGGGACAGTCCCACACAGAGGCAGCACCTGTTCATACCTGAAGACGTGGGCGCCGCCTGTGCTCTGACAGGCCTGTCCGACCCCACCCAGTTGGTGACCCCAAGTGCATCCTGAGGTGTGTGGTCCCCAGAGTGGGCTCCAGGTTGGCAGGCCCTGCCCCTTGCAGGATAGCCATGGGGGTGAGTGCACTACTGCTTGCAGAATTGGGATCCTGGAGTGGCATCTGGGGGCACGGGGCTTCAGGAGCTTGGCCGTGGGGGTGGGAGCTGCAAGGCTGTGGGGTCAGGACGTGGGGGTCGTGGGAGACTGGCAGCGCGCCTGTAAGCCCATTCCTTCAAGCAGCCCCCAAATGTGGAGGTTGGGATGTGAGCAGGAGGGCCGGTGAGGCAGCTCCCCATCTGCTTTCCCCTGGAGAAGCTGCTCTCAGGCCCAGTTTGCGACCTTGCTCTGGGCCCCCATGTTGGAGTTGGGTTGAACTCAGTGACTTTACCATGTGTGAGTGGGTAGCACCCTGCAGGGCCTCTGGGACCTCCTGTGTGGCCGGCCCAGCTGGGTCCAGGGCTCCAGCCGCAGGGGATGTACGTACATTTCTGATTATCCTCTGGTTCCCCAGACCATAGTGGCTGGTGGGACTCATCCCCTTTTCCTAGCCAGGAGTTGCAGCTGTGTGGCCTGAAGCCTGTCCTGTCTCCACTGTAGTGGCCTCGTGGTCTACGCAGACGGGCCCTTGAACCTGGACCGCAAAGCAGAGGACATGTCCGAGCTGTTCCGTCCCTTCCACACCCTGCTCCGGAAAATAAGGTGGGGATTGAGGGGCCCAGGGTAGGTGGGGCGCCCCCCCCCCTCCAGCAGCCTGGCCCCGCCCAGCCCCAGGCCAGGCAGCAGTGGGGATATCCAGCCCTGCACGTACCCTGGATGAGGCGCCACTGGGCATTTCTCAGCTCCAGGGTGGGGGATGAGGGGGTGGGGAGGAGTGTGCACCTGCCAGCAGAGCCGTGAGCCATCCCTGGCCCCTCCACATGGCGGGCCCCAAGCTCACGTGGACCCGCCCTGGGCTTATTCCAGTTCCTGAGTGGTCCAGGATGAGATGGGGTGGGCTATTTAGTGCTCTGGCACATCTGAGCAGCAGCCCAGGGCTCCGCAGGTATGAGAGCTGCTGTTGATGCGGGCGTGGCTCCTGTAGAGAGTGTGGCCCCCGCAGCGGGTGTGCCTACTGCAGGTGTGGCTGCCACTATAGGTGGCTGGTGCTCTGCCCTTAGGGACTGTTGGCCCGCTGCATTGAGTCCTGCTGCCAACACCCCAATTCTGGTCCTGAAACCTTTGCTTCAAATTAGTGTGGAGCCCAGCAGTTCGGAGGCCCCACCTGTAGCCTCAAAGCTTACAGGCCTTTGCCACATAGTGGGACACGGGGGTGTATATGTCCAGAGTGGCCTCAGATCTGAGGACATTCTTGCATGACTTCCAGCTTTCAGGAGGTCTTGTTCCAGCCGCCACAGAGTCCACACTCCCGAGGCCCTGTGATGCTTTCCTGAGTCTGTGGGCACAGGCAGCCTGACAGTGTCTTTCTTGCTTGGGCAGCTGTCCCTTCAGGCTGTCTGGGGAGTGTCTGTCCCTCCTGAGGAGCCATGGCTCCATCCAGGAGTGTTCTGAGGGTGCTCCCCGGGATAGGCTGTGGAGGTGGGGGAGCCAAGGGTTGATCATCAGCTTCTAGGAAGGATGTGACCCCTGGGTGTGGTGATCCCAGTACTCACCCTTCATAAGCATCTGGTGAGAGGAGAGAGAAATGACGCTGGAAGGGCTGAAGCACGTGGGGCCTAGAGATGGAGGGAGAGGCCCTGGGCTCGGCCTGCCTCATGGTGTGTGCAGTGCTGTGTGCAGGTACTTGGAAGAATGGGTACCCGAGAGGAATAGGGAGTCTAGGAAATGGGCCAAGAGTAGTCCCAGATGTGAGGAAGGCCTGCACAGTGCCTGAGACTGGAGAAGGGCTTGTACCACAGCACAGATGGCCTGAGTGTCCCTGCAGAAGGCTCACGGGGACAGGGGAGGCCCCTGTACAGGCACCTGTGCTCACAGCTGGCTCAGGATGGAAGGTCACAGCGATGCCAGAAGGAGCATGAGGGGTTTGTGTTCATGTCCAAAGGAGCAGCTGCCAGCCAGCAAAACTGCTCTTTGGCTATGAAAGTGAGACCAGGGGTGATTCAGAAGTACCAAGCAGAAAGCACATGCCATCCATGGTCTGCACGGAATGTTGTTATTTTGCAAGTTATCCAATAAGCTTTTGAAAATGATTCATTTTCTGGTGTAAAATATTTTTAGCAAATTGGGAGTGGATAGGCATTTCCTTCCATTGACCCACCACTTTCTTTACCTGTGCACACACGGAAGAAGTTGAACCCCCTTTTTTCCCTTTTTTTTTCTTTTTGGGTCACATCCAGCAATGCACAGGGGTTATTTCTGGCTCATGCACTCAGGAATTACTCCTGACAGTGCTCGGGGGGACCATATGGGATGCTGGGAATCGAACCCGGGTTGGCCACTTCAAGGCAAATGCTCTACATGCTGTGCTATCACTCCAGCCCCAGAAGTTGAATCCTTAGTTCACATCACACACCGGAATTAAAATGCATCATCAATGGAATCAACGCCATTTGCCACAAGCCCACAGCAAACATTATACTCAATGGGTAAAAACTAAAATCCTCTTAAGATCGGGCACAAGACAATATAGAAGGACTTAACCGCTTCTATTCAATATAGTATTGGAAGTACTTGTCATAGAAATTAGGCGAGGAAAAGATATTAAGGGCATCCAAATAAGAAAGGAAGATGTTTATCACCATTTGCAGATGACATGACACCATATCTAGAAAACCATAAAGACCCTACAAAAAAGCTCCTAGAAACAGTCGATTTATACAGTAAAGTGGGAGCTACAAAATTAGCGTGCAAAAGTCCATGACATTCCTACATGCAAGTAATGAAATAGAAGAGAGATATACTTAAAAAGTCCCATTTACAACTCTGCCTCTGAAAATCAAGTACCTTGAGATCAGTTTAACTAAAGAGGTGACAGAACTATACAAAGAAAACTACAAAACACTACTACAAGAAATAAAAAAAGAACACGAAGAAATGGAGACATATCCCTGTTCATGGATTGGGAGGATTAACGTCAAAACGGCAATACTTCCTAAAGCATTATACAGATTCAGTGCCATTTCTATGAGGATACCTATGACATTAAAAAAAAATAGATCAAACACACCTGAAATTTATATGGAATAGTAAACTCACCTGAATAGTTATAGCGATCCTCGGGAAAAAGAAGATGGGAGCTCTTATTTCCCCAACTTCAAACTGTACTATAGAGCAGTTATTAAAACAATGTGGTACTGGAATAAGAACAGACCCTTGGATCAATGGAATAGGACAGAAAACCCAGAAACAGACCCTCAGTATATGGCCAGTTAATCTTCGATAAAGGAGCAAAAAGAAAAATATGAAGGGGAGCAAGGAAGGCCTCTTCAACAAATGGTGCTGGGGAAACTGAAGAGCCACATGCAAAAAAAAAAAAAAAAAGGGAGAAGAACTCAGATCTCTTTCTAAGACCATAGACACAAGTCAAATCAAATGGATTAAGGACCTAGATACCAGGTCTGAATTCGTAAGTTCCATAGAGGAAAATACAGGCAGAATGCTTCGTGACATTAAATCTAGAGGCATCATTTAGGATGAAATGCCACTGATGAGCTAGTGAAGCAGAGATAAACAGAAGTACATTAAGAAACAAAAGCATCTCCAAGGAAATGATGACCAATATACAAAGACAGTCCACAGACTGGAAGAAAGCATTTGCCCACGACTCATCCAACAAAGGTTGATACCCAAGATATACAAAGCACTGATAGAACTCTTCGGGGAAAAAGCATCCAACCCCACCCAAAAATGGAGAGAAGAGATGAACATCTTTAAAGAATAAATACAAATGGTTAAAAAGTACATGAAAAATGCTCTACATCGCTAATCATCAGGGAGATGCAAATCAAAGCTGCACTGAGGTATCATCTCATACCATGGAGACTGGAACTCATCAGAAAATAACCAGTGCTGGGGCAGATGTGGGGAAAAGACTCTTATTCATTGCTGGTGAGAATGCCGACTGGTTCCAGCCTTTTTGGAAGACAAGACAAGCATTCCTCAAAAAACTAGAAATTGAGCTTCCATATGACCCAGCAGTATCACTCCTGGGAATATACCCTGGGGGCCCAAAAACACAATACAGAAAAGCCATCTGCACTTCTATGTTCATTGCAGCACCATTCACAATAGCCAGACTCTGGAGATGACCCAAATTCCCACAGACAGATGAGTGGATAAAGAAACTATGGTACGTCTACACAATGGAATACTACTCAGCCATAAGAAAAAAGATAAAGTCATGCAATTTGCTGCATTGTGGGTGGATCTGGAGAATATCCTATTGAGTGGAATCAGTCAGAGAAAGAGGTACAGGCTCAGTGATCTCTCATATGTGGGATATAAAGAAACCTTGTAGGGGAGTATCAAATGCCCAGTGGCAATAGAAATGAAGAGCAGGAGAACTGGTGCTCCATAGGAAGCTGGGCCCAAGAAGGGTGTCCAGAGACGGGGCAGGGAGAGAGCTGTGTAACTGGAGGGTGTCCCTCAGGCCATGCTTCCAGGTACATCCCAGGATCCTGTCCATCGTGGAGTAGGACCAACAGCCCCATTCAGAGTGGACTTGGGCACAGAGCTATGCACACACACTCTGTTAACAAGGGTCCACCACTGCTCTGGAATCCCCATGGACAGGCTGTCCTCTCTGTCCCTGTAGTGCCAATACAAGTACAGGCTGGCCGAGCTGACCGACACAGATGCTTGTCTGGAGCAGCTCAGCCGCATGGTGTGCCAGGCCCCAGCATGCAGCATAGGGGTCAGCGGGCATGCGATGTGCAGCCAGGGCTCAGGAGGTGCCTTCATAGAAATAGGCCCCAGGAGCTGTTTCTGAATCAAGCCCATCCTCAGGGCCCCTTCCTTCAGGAAGTCTCCTTGGACTGACCTAGGGAACATGCTTGCCCCCCCCCCCCCCCCACCAAGTGGCACCATCTTCTCTGTCCTCTTCACATAGACATTATCTGCTCGGTCCAACATCACCTCCCCCCGCCTCTCACCTTATGGGCACAGGGGACAGGCCTGCCCTCTGCCAGGTAACCTGGGCGCCTGGCACGCACTGTTCATGGCACTAACTTTAGGGGAGTCTTTGGAAAAGTTGGGTCTTTGGTGTAAAAGTTCATTTACCAAAGGGCCACGCTGCTGAGACCGGACCTTTTGTAGTTCCAGCCACGTGCTTGCCCTGAACTCAGCCTGTGGTCCCAGTCCCCACTGTGCCTGTGCCCTGTGCCTCCACCCCCACTCCTCCCCATGTGCCCATGCCCCCCCACTCCCCATGTGCCCTGTGCCTGCCTCCCCCACTCACGCCCCCGCGCTCAGGGCCGTGCCGCCTGCCCTGCAGGGACCTGCTGCAGACGCTGACCGAGGAGGAGCTGCGCACGCTGGAGCGGAGCCTGTGCATCTCCCAGGACGCTGACGCGCCCGCCGCCCCTGCCCTCACGCCCACCTTCCCCGCCCCGCTGCCGCCCGAGGAGCTGCTCTCAACCCAGGCCCGCGAGGTGGACACGGAGCTGGCCTGCTCCATGCAGTACGACGACCAGGAGCTGGAGCAGCTCAGCCGCATGGTGTGCCGGGCCGGCGACGAGATGTCCTCCCTGCTGTCCCCACCGAGCACCGGCCAGTCCCCCGCGCGCCAGCCGCGGCCCCACGGCAGCCCCCGCAGCCAGGCGTCCCCCGGGCCTGCGCAGCCCGCGGGCGGCGGCCCGGACGAGGAGGGCAGGGTGTTCTTCATGGACGACGTGGAGGGGCCGGCGGATGCTGTCCCGTCCGGGAACGCCGCGGCAGGCCCCGCGGCAGAGCCGGGGGACGCGAGCGACAACAACAACGTCGGGGACGACAAGTGGCGGGCGGCGGGCCTGCTGGGCAGCGGCTCCTGCAGCTGCCTGGACGTGTCCGCGGCCCCTGACGCCGGCGCCGCCGAGAGGATCGCCCACCGGACGGGGGGCATGAAGCTCTCGGCCACCGTCATCTTCAACCCCAAGTCGCCCTCGGCCCTGGACGCGGCGTTGCCTGACCCGGACGCAGCGGGCACGGCCGACCCCGGGGGGCCGGCGGGGGGCCCCGAGGCCGGTGCCCGCGCGCTGAGCGCCGCCGTGGCCACCCACTGCTTGCTCCAGTCCTGCGTGTGCTGCGGGGGTTGCGGCGGCTGCGAGGACACGGCTGAGCGCCTGCGGGACTTGGGAGGCCCCGGCTCCGCGGGCGCTGCCAAGGGCTTGTCCCGGCCCACGCCGCCTTCGGAAGACGCCCCGGACGCCTCCAGCCCCGCGCCGGGCACGGAGGAGCAGTGCGGAGCCGGGGGTGGGCCCGAGCGGCCCACGGAGGCCCAGGCGCCCGGGGAGCGGCCTCCGAGCGGGCCCGGGCCCAGGTAAGAGGCCGCGCGGACTGCTGCTGCAAGTGGGGGTGGGGACTCTGAGCAGCAGTGATCACTTCGGCTGTCTCCCTTGTGTCTGCTGGCCTCGTGGACGTGGACGCAGCCTTGTCCCACCTGTCCAGTCGCCCCCATCATGGTGGGGAGGAAGGACGGTGACCGGGAGCAGACCCCAGGCAGCTCTAGGACACAGCCCCTCCCCTTCCCCTCCTCCGCTGAGGGACAAGGGCTGCCCCTGTGTCTCTCCTTACTGCTCTCCCACCTCGTGGGAGCTGGTGTCACCGTGTCCCCTGCAGGTGTCTGCAGTGACCCCACAAGGCCCTCCAAATACCTGGGGGCTGTGCAAGAGGGGCTGCCTGGGGAGGGGTCTGGCTTCTCCCCCAGCTCTGCACTCCCCACCCGCCCCCTGTGACCAGCCCTCCTGGGCCTCAGGCACTCGCCAGTTCATTCTGCACCTCCTGTTTGTGCATCCCTGCCGGGTACTGGGCTCCCTATCCCAGGCAACAACCCAGTGTGCTCTGGCAGGCAACACCCTACTGTGTGCTGGACATTGTCTCCCTGTCTCCCGGAGACACTGATGATTTTGCTCAGCTCTGGGCGGGGGAGGGGGGCAGCTGTGGGGTTCTCCTGAGCTACTATTTGCCCTGACCCCTCCACTCTTGTCCAACTTTCCCCCACGACTCCTCTGTGTGGAGACTCCCCCAGAGCAGGAACTGGCCCCCCAGGTCACGTCCAGCCCTCCTGCCCAGGAGCCCATGCCCCACTTTCACCTGCAGGAAGCAGGGGGCACCCACCCATCCTGGCTCCACCCCCCCCCCCCCCCCCCAGAGCGCTCAGGAAGGTGGCACGCCCCAGCCTCCACACCCTGCTCCTTCGCCCACCAGGGGGAGCAACCGTCATTTTGCATATTTCAGCCTCTGCAGTGAAAACAGAAAACTCGCAAACACAGTTACAACATGCAGATACATGCAGACCACACAACACACCAGTGCACACATACTAACATGTGGGTTTCACGTCACAAATGATACACAGACACATGATACTTACAGGATACATGGAAACAGCACACAGACAGATACATGACACTCTGAAATGCATACACATGGGATAATACCACGTGACATCTATATGACACAGGTAACCACATGCATGATACACACAGTCTTGCACATACATGGCACATACCACACTGATACATATGATACATGTCATGGGTACAACACATGTACATGCATTAATGACCTTCACAGGCACACACAACATGCCAGTATTATGGCGTGCATATACACAGCATACAGATACACACACATGCATACATGGTTCACATGTGTATACAACACTACACATGCATACACACATGCACACATATAGGGTACCACAGATGCATACGCATGGACACAAGTATACGTGCACACCACATAGACACCTGGCACCTGTGTGTATATAACACATATAGCACACACATTCCTCTTAGCTTTGCCTCCCACAGTAACCCCAGCGCTAGTGTGGCTGTGTGTCCTGGCTGTCACGGGTGTGGCAGCGAGCACTCCCAGGTCTGGTCAGGCCATTGGGAGGCCCAGGCCCACGGTGATTCAGGGGCCTTCCCACTCTGAGAACGGCTGCTTCCTCCACCGGTTCCTGAGCACCTCCCATGAGACCCGCCTGCGCACCTCTCCCCAGGGCTCCCGCCTCCCACACCATTTCTGCTGGTCACAGAGGTGTGAGGAGACAGGATTGCTCCCAGGAGGACCAACAACAAGCAGATCAGGGGGCAGCTGCAACCCAGCGTGGGCCTGCCATGTCTTCAGGGCTGGCGATCCTGTGTGGCCCTAGCTCCTGACCTGTCTCCTGGCTCTGTCCCTGTTGTTCTCTGCTGAGCCTGTTGTTCCAGAGCCGGCCCCCTTGCCTGTCCCTGGCAGCATTCTCAGTGGTCTGTGTGCCCCCAACACAGCAGGCATACTGGACCTGGCTGCTTCTACCTGGGGCCCCAGCTCTGTGCCACTCTGTTCCTGTTTGGCTCCATGGTCTTCCCTGCCTCACATAATGGGGGACAGATGGGCCAAGGGTGCCTGCGTCTGGCCAGAGTAAGGGCCTAGAGAGGGGGTCCAGGTCAGACCCCCTGGGAGGAGCCATCAAACAGTGCCCAGAGGGTCCCAGGGCTGCTCCCAGCTGTGCCTGACCTCTGGGTTGGACAGTTGCGTTCTCAGGCCCAGCCCTGGGGTGCCAGGATCGGCAAGCATCCTGACCACAGCCATCTCCAGGCCCCTGAACCTCTTGTTAGAACCCAGACCCCAAGAGACTGCCCCAAGGGCCAGAGTGCTTGGCCTGCAGAGCCCAGATCTGCCCCTACCCCTGCACTGTGCAGTGTGGCCCGAAACCCTAAGACAAGATCCAAGAACAAGACTGCAGAGTCCGTGTGGGCTTCACGTCTGCCCTGCCCAGCCCACTGCTTATGTGGCTCCTCGTCCCATCACTAGCCCTGTCCCAAAAGGCCGTCATGGCCAGTCTGGGGACAGGGTGGGTAGTTGCGTGCCCCACAGCAGTGGGCCTCTAGGAAGTTGCCCAGTTTCCCGGTCCTCCTGCTCTGCCTTCCCATTGTGTCTTTTTTTCCGTTTTGAGACAGGGAGGGAGATGAGGTCAGTCGCCTCTGGCAGTGCTCAGGGGAGCAGGTGGCACTGGGGATGTCACCAGGGTTGGACACACATGAGGCAATTACCTCACCCTGGTATCATCTCTCAGGCCTCTGGTCACTGTGATCCTTCCTCACAGTCTATCCAGGGAAGACAGAGAAGCATGACTTTCTCCCAGCTCGCGGTATATCACATAGGTGTCCCCCACAGGTTTAAGCTACAGGTATAACCACAGGTATAACCCATAGGTATGACCCACAGGAATGGCCTGCAGGTATGGCCCACAGGTATGATCCGCAGATATAACCTGCAGGTATGGCCCATAGGTATAACCCACAGGTATTGCTGACAGGTATGGCCCACAGGTATAACCAACAAATATAGCCCATTGGTAAAACCAAATATAACCCACAGGTGTAGCCCATAGGTATAAACTGCAGGTATGGCCCACAGGAATAACCAACAGATATAGCCCACAGGTATAGCCTATGGGTATGACCCACAAGTGTAGCCCATAGGTATAACCCACAGGTATAGCCCGCAGGAATGGCCCACAGATAGATATAACCCTCAGGTATGGCCAACAGGTATAACCCATAGGTATAGCTATATAGCTACAGTATGGCCCACAAGTATACCCCTGTATGCTATACCCGCAGGTGTGGCCTGCAGATATGGCCCGCAGGTATAGCTCACAGGTATAACCCTCAGGTATGACCCACAGGTATAACCCACAGAGATAGCCTACAGGTATAGCCCAAGATATAACCCACAGGTATGGCCCACAGGTATAACTCACAGGCGTAAACCACAGTTATAACCCACAGGTATAGCCCACAGGTGAAGCCTGAGGTGTTCAGCAGGCGAGGAGGGCTGACACAGTCAGAAGGTACCTGTCTGGAAAAAATTACTTGACAAATTAAAAAAATTTTTTTTTAAATTGAGTCACTGTGAGACACAGTTACAAAGCTGTTCATGATCGGGTTTCAGTCCTACAATGATCCAACACCCATTCCTCCACCAGTGTCCATTTCCCACCACCAATGACCTCAGTTTCCCTCCCACCACCCCCACCCCCCACCCCCCACCTCCAGCCTGCCTCTATGGCCCTAAGGCAGGCAATTTCCTTCTCTCCCTCTCTCTCTACCTCCTGTCTAAAAATTTTGGGCCTTCTCAGAATCTGGGTGGGCAACCTCTCCCCCCACCCCGGTACTTCCCAAAGCCCCAACAGTCACACCCAGATTCTGCCACCTTACCGTGTAAGCTCACTGCCCAGCAGTTAAATATTCTGGACTTTCTGGTCCTCATGACGAGGACCTAATATCCCCATGATGAGATACATTTTCACTAACTTTCTTTCACTGAATAGTTTTTGATAATTCCATTTATTATCCATTTAATGGTAACTAGCAATATAAATTATCGTGAGCCTTCTATGGGGGCAGGCTTGCGTGGTTGGAAAGATGGAGACAATGGCAGGGGAAGTTCGCAGTGATAGTGGGATTGGAATATTGCATGCCTGTAACAAGCACATCATGAACTTTGTAAACCACAGTTTAAACAACAGGGGCAGAGAAGGTGCCCATGGTTGCCTCTGGGATCGGCCAGTACTAGTCCATCCCCAGGGCCCCAGTGCACAGCTGAGAGACTTCCCCCGAGATGCCAGCTCTGTGGAACTCACAGATTCTGACGCTGTTTTGGTCCTGGAGGACAGAAACCCAGGGCTCCGCGAGTCAGGACTGTGCCACTGCCTGCCGGCTGCCGGCAGCCCTGGGGATGCAGCCTTATCCTCGAAGCTGTGGGGTGGGCTGTGCCTGTGTCTGCTCACAGCCCTGCTGTCATCAGCGGGTCCCAGCAGTGCATATGCGGTGTGCAGCCGGTCCATGTACCCCACCGCAGCTCAGTGGCTCCTCCCCCAACCTCTGGTCACCCTTCATGTTCTCAGAACCCTTGCCCCCTCTCCCTTAGGAGCTCTGGGGTCCCAGTTCCCCAGGAAGCAGCCAGGGTCCTGACCTCAGGCTAGCCACCTTTGCACTTGGGGGTCTTCCTGTAGGAGCCCCTCGGATACATCAGCGCCTGCCCTCTCACAGGAGAAGTGATCCCTGGCCTGAGGCTGTGGCCACTGCTCCTGCCTGCCAGCTGGGACCTGACTTCCATCCTGGGGTGGAATGTTCTGGAACACACAGGGCCTGGGAAGACCCTGCCTGGAGATGTCCACAACAGGTCCAGCTGTCTGCCGGGCTTGCCATGAAGTCCCTCAGTGAAGTGGGCCTGTCTCGTGGGCCTGGGCGGCCTTTAAAGGAGCACAGAGATTTGCGTCTGCTCCAAGGGCAGAGGAAGAACCAGAGGGAGGAAGGAAGGAAGAGAAAAAGCTCCAGAGGTTGCATAGGGCGGTCGCACAGAGAGGGAGGCCAGGGCATGGGGGGTGCCGGCAGAAACAGCCCTGTTGTGGCAGGTGGGCCCCACTCAGAGCCTGGTTCAGGTGGGTCAGTGAAGGCACCGGAGACTCAGAGCCATGCTCCCTGCCATGTCCTGAGGAGTCACCACTGCAGGCTCCCAGACCATGCCCGCCACGTTCCCTCCTGCCTGTGCCCCGGTGCACTGATTGCTGGCTCTGGGGCGCCTGCCCGCTGACCACCCCAGGCTCCCTTTGCCAAACATGGCCCTGTGCAGGCTTGGGGGCGGCCCGTGGCCTGTCTGACGATCCCTGTAGGAGGCTGGGAAAGGAACCCGGGAGGGGGTGAAGGGCTTCACTTCAGGGCCCCCACACCCCTGCCTTTCTCCTTTGCAGTGCTGCCACAGACAAGGCAGGCCTTGAGGTGGCTCCTGTGGCCACAAGAGAGAAGATCCGGTCACGGTTCCACAGCAGCCACGACCTCATCCACCGCCTGTTTGTCTGCATCTCAGGTGGGTGCTACATCTGGGATGGACGTGGGCGTGCGTGGGGGGGGCGCGGTGGTGTCACCCATTGTTGACCAGGGACATGTGTAGGACCCCCTGTTGGCCAGACAGCGAGATGAGGTGAATGTTTGCTTTTCAGCAGTGTTTTCAATGCTGACATGTAACGGTCTGGATGTATAGAAAATGCTGGAAAACTTCCCGTGTTTCCTTGCTGGCCTCCCCCTGCCCCAGGGCAGGGCCAGCTCTGTGTGTCCTACCCGCCCCGTGCCCCTGGGAGCCTGTGGAGCAGGAAGTCGCAGACCGGGAGCCTGGCTGGGGGCAGGAGTTAGTGGGCCCTGGACACTGATCCCAGTACAGCCCAGCTGGTTCCTGCAGTGCGGGGAGCCTCTGAGAGCCAGGGAGTTTACCCAGGGTGAAGGCAGGTGACTGACAGAACAACTCTGGTCCAGTTCCCTGGGTGAGGGGCCAGTGGCTGGCCACGGGGGGAGCCTCAGAGGCCAGCCTGATGAGCTCTGGTATTCCTGCTGGCCTCTCTGGACGTCTCATGCTCCCTGGTCCCCTCAACTCCAGGACTTTATTTCTGTCCAAGGATTGGCTTCCAGGGGCTGGGTCTGGCCCTGAGCTCTGGCTGGACTCAGCAGCCCCCCATGGTCCCTCTGCAGGCGTGGCCGACCAGCTGCAGACCAACTATGCCAGTGACCTAAGGAGTATCCTCAAGACCCTCTTTGAGGTCATGGCCACCAAGCCGGAAGCAGATGACAAAGACAAGCTAAAGAAAGGTGAGGCCTTTGCTGATATCCTCCCACTGCTAGGAATGTGGGGACACAGGGTCCCTGCCCTGTCCCGGTGGCCCCCAGGTCTCACCCACCCCCCAGCCCAAAGGGAAATGCCTGCATGTGGCCCCTTCCCCCTCCCCACCTCCCACCCCACAGGCTGGAGAAAGGACTTCCCCGGGGAGACCTCGACTCTCCCCCTCAGTGAAAGCGTGACTCACCTGTGACCATGTGCCCCATTTCAGAGAGCACCACACATACACACACACACAAACACACACACACACAGTGGGCATATGTGCACACTCACGTGTACCAAGTGTGCCCACATGTGCACACAGTGTCTCACAAGCATGCCCATGCTTTCTGGCTCTCCCTGTGAGACCTTGCTCACCCTGTCTGGGAGTGCAGGCATAACCTGCCAGGGCAGTTGCTGGCCGTGCCCACCAGGGCTGCACCTGCACAGCTGGCCCCTGCCACCTCCTGCTGAGATGCAGATGCTGAGGCCTCTCTGATCAGGACTTGTGCCTTCAGCACTCTCAGTGCCCAGTGCCCCTGCTGGGTTAGGGGGCTGACCCGTGGGCACAGCCAGGGGTAGAATGCCCCCAGTTGCCCTGCCCCTTCAGTCACGCAGAGCCTGTGCAGCGCCACACTGGAGGACTGTGCCCTGTGCCAGGAGACCTCATCATCCTCGGAGCTGGCAGCCAAGACCCGAGAAGGGGGCCTGGAAGGTGCGGGAGGCTGGTGGGAGGCTGGCGGGGAGGCTGGTGGGAGGCTGGCGGGAAGACTGGTGGGAAGGCTGGCAGGGAGGCTGCGGGAGGTGGAATTCTGGGCTGGCACGGGGAAGGAGCACCCAGGGCAGTGCCTGTGCCTGCAGGACAGGAGCCCAGAGGCCTGAGGTCACTGCTCTGGCCACACCTTCATCTTGTGGTGACCTGGGCTGGTTTCCATGAGCCCCTGGGTTACAGGCTGCAATTCTCCATGCCCCCAGGAGCAGGACTGTCTGTCCCCAGACTAGGGACCCCCCTGGGGAGGGGTGGCAGCAGGGCCTCGTCTCCCTGGGCTGCTAGCCCAGCCCTCACAGGAAGGCAGCCCCTGGCATGGTGGGACGCTGCCCCAGTGTGGGGGTGTCTACAGGCAGGCCCTTATGAGAACTGGCTGCCCTGTGTAGGCAGGCAGGGGTGTGGAGGGAAGAGAACTGGGAGATCCTGCCAGACAAAGGTGCTGACACAGGCTCTGGGGAGAGGATGGCCGTGTCCAGTGTGACTGGCTACGTGAGGGGCAGGAGCCCTGAGGGCTCACCCAGGATGGATGGGTGCTGGCTGTAGCCACATGGGGCCTCTTGTGCTCAGCACAGCCCTGCCAATCACTGTCACTCCAGTTCAGAGCAAACCTCTTTGGAAGGCTCTAGGCGGGAGGTGTGGGGGGTGCTGGCAGGTGGGCGAGGCTGGAGGTGGGGGGCCCTGGGCAAGTGGGCTGGGCTGGAGGTGGGGGGGCCCTGGGCGAGGTGGGCGTGGCAGAGGTATGTGGACCCTGGGTGAGGTGGGCGGGGCTGGAGGTGTAGGAGGCCCTGGGCGGACTCGGCTGGAGTGAACTGACCTGGAGTCTGGGGGCTCGGTGAGGACAGGCACCGCCCATGGCCGCAGAGGCCCCATGGAGCGTGCCGGGAGCTCCGTGACGCGTCCCTGAGTCCCCATTGTGGTCACAGAGCCGCCCGAGTGGGTCCCCGACGAAGTCTGCGGCTTCTGCACGGCCTGCAAAGCGCCTTTCACGGTCATCCGCAGGAAGCACCACTGCCGCAGCTGTGGGAAGGTGGGCGGCGGGGCGGGGGGGCGCGCAGGGTGGGGTCCCGGGGGCGCGGGGTTGGGGTCCGGGGGCCCGGGACGTGGTTCCAGGGTCGCAGGGCGGGGGTCCCGGGCGCGCGGGGCGCGGTTTCGGGTGCGCGGGACGGGGTCGCGGGGTGGGGATGCGGGGCGTGCGGGGCGGGGTTCCGGGGGCGCGGTCCCTGGCGAGCTCCCCCCCCCCCCGCCCCGCCCCGCCCCGCGCTCACCCCTGTCTCCCGCAGATCTTCTGCTCGCGCTGCTCCCCGCACTCGGCGCCGCTGCCGCGTTACGGGCAGGTGCGGCCGGTGCGCGTGTGCACTCACTGCTACGTGTTCCACGTCACGCCCTTCTACCGCGAGCGCGCGGCGCTGTGAGCGGAGACGCGTCGGGAGATGAGCTTTATTTTCTAAACGCTGTGACGGACACATAAATCTATTTACGGACCCAGCGCTGTTGCCTCTGTGCCTGCCCCCGCGCCGCCCTGCCCAGGGGCTCCCCCTCGGCGCCGCCCCTGGCCGGCAGCTCACGTGCCCAATGGCCGCGGGCTGCCTCGGTTCGCTCCACGCCACGCGAGGACGCGGCGGGCCGCCCGCCCTCCCAGTTCCACAGTGCGAGGGGCCACATCGTCCTGGGGGCCTGGGACACGCTTCCTCCAGGACACTGCTGCAGGTCCCTGTGGCGGCCAGGGGCGCCCGTCCCACGGCCCCGGCCGCCTTCCAGGGGCTGGGGCCCCCGCAGCTGGGGTTCCCCACAGAGGCTTCCGAGACAACAATCCCACCCCACATGTTCAGGGCCCAGAACGTGCGTGGGCTATGCTGGAGGCTCTGACCTCACACTCATGCCGTCTGCCTGAATGCCTCCAGTAGGACCCCAGATGGCCAAGTGGAAACTGCCTTTGCTGGGCAAACTGAAGAGTCAGTGGGGGGCCTCACAGACTAGAAGCAGAGCAGCTTTGGGGAGTCCCCCTCAGTCCCAGGACACACCAAGGGTCCCACGCAGGGGACAGGACTCTGGAGGAGGCACGGTGTTCGGCGGGCCCACCAGGCCCCATCACAGAACCTGCCACCCCAGGTCCAAGAAAAGTGGGTGGGGGGTTCCAGGCTCTAAAGGGGCTGAGCCTCCTGCCTGGAAAGAGTGGGGTGGGGAGGGGTAGCGGCAGGAAGGCACCAGAGACTGAAGAACCAAGCGGTCCCCAAAGTGAGAGAGGCTCTGGGGGGTCTCCAAGGGTCTGCTGGGGGAGGAAGAGGCAAGGAGAGAGGGAGTGAGTGGGGTGGGGGTAGGGGACAGGTGGGAGGGAGAAGGAGAGGGGGGAGAGCAGAGAAGGGAAGGAGGAAAGAGTGGAGAGGGGAGAGGAGAGGGAGGATCTAGGAGTAGTGAGGGGGAGGAGAAGGGGAGAGGTGAAGGGAGCTGTGGAAGGAGAAGGGAGGGAGGGGAGTCGTACACAGCCCCTCAGCTGAGAGGGCCCAGTGGGCCCAGGAAGATTGGGAAGTAGCATTCTAGAAGTTTCCTTCCCTTGGGTGACCTTAGGGCATCAAATACCCTTGTGGAACCCGCGCAGGGGAGCAAACCAACCTCCCCCAGATCTGAGCTGGAATCCTCTTCCTCTGCTCCAAATGCCTGAGGGGGACTGCAAGGGGAAGGCCAAAATATCCAGGCCCAGGGGTCCCCACCCAAATCAGCTCCTGCTGGGCAAAGAGGGCAGGGGCTCGGACACTGGGCTGGGCCAGGTCCCTGCTCCCAGAAGGGCAGGAAAGACAAAGTGGTGCAGATGAGGTTGTGAGGTGCCACCCCGCAAACTTGGTGGGTGTATTGCTGGCCTCCACTTGTAAGCATCTGCCCAGCACCTGTGCCCTCATGGGCATCCTTCTCTCAGAACCCTGCTGCAACACCCCTCCCCCCACCCCCACTGGTCCCCGTCCATGTGCCTTCCCCACTGTCATCCTGGAGCCACCCCATCTGCTGGGCTTCTGGCATGCCACTGCCCCTCCTCTTCCTCCACACAGCCCAGCCCAGCGACACTGGTTTCCCTGTCTCCCCGCCAATGAAGGTGCAGGTGCGGGGAGCACCCCCGGGAAGCTGGGAAGGCGCACCCCGAAATGTCTCCTGAACAACTGGCCCTCGGATTCCCCCCAGATCCCCCACGTGGGACGCAGAAGGCAGAGTCCCGCCGGGGTACCAGGGACTGAGGGCAGCACCTAAGTCTCCCCCAGTCTGGCCTACCCTCCTTGCGAACCACAGAGGCCAGCGGTGCCAGGAAGTAGAGGAAGGGACCCGCTGCGGCCGCGTCCCAGGCGCCGGGCACGGGCTCCTTCCGTTGTGCACTGGGCTCAGGGTCCTCTGCTTAAACTGGGGCGCGCTGGGGTCTTCCTGGGCGGCTATGCCCTCCCTCGCGACGTGTTAGGTCCAGACACCCGATTCCGCGCCCAGAGGCGCGGGAGCCCTCGGATCACCCAGGCCAACAGCAGAGTCCAGTTCCTGCACCCATCAAGGCCTCGCCGGCCCTCCCGCCCCCACATCCTCGGCCTCAGTTTCCCCACAGTTGGCCTCCGAGAGATCGGCTCTCTCCGGGCGTCATTCCGGGGCCGCACTGGCACCCCGACACCACGAAGCTCCGCTCTGGGGGCGCCCCGACGCGCTTCAGGGCGTACGCGCCCCGACACGCCCGTGGACATCCAGCGGCGGCGCTGCGCTTCCTCTCGGCAACGCGGCCGGCGCCGCGCGCTCATTGGCTGCGTGCCGCAAGCCCGACCATTGGCCCAGCGCCTACTTTACATGGACGCCCCTCGACCAATGAGCGCGCGGCACCTACTTAACATGCACGCCGCCAGCCAGTCAGCGAGCGTGGGGGCCGGGCCACCACGTGCTGTTGCTAAGCTTGCGCTTCTAAATTGTTACTAGCGCGGCCAGCCAATACGCCGCGAGCTCCGCATCTGTCAACATTCTCGGCCCCGCCCGAGCCGTTCGACCGCTGCCCATTGGCCCAGATCCCACGCGTCGCCCGCCCCCGCGCCTCCGAACTCGCTCCCCACTGGCTGCACTGGTCGCCGCTCGCCCCTAGGTGTCAATTTGGGGGCCTGGGGCGGAGGGTGGCCGCCAAGTGCAGCGACTCTGCCGAGCCGGGAAGTGGTGCTGCCGGGCGGGCGAGCGGGGCCGGCCGGAGCGGGCCGGGCAGCGGCCGCCGCCGTCCCGGGGCGCGGCGCGGGGCGAGGATGGAGCTGAACTCGCTGCTGATCCTGCTGGAGGCCGCCGAGTACCTGGAGCGCAGGGACCGAGGTAGCGCCCGCGCCCCTTTGTGCTCCGGGCCGCGGGCGGGCGGGGGGCGGGCGGGAACGCGCCGGGGGCACCCGCTGACCGCGCCGTCTGCCCGCAGAGGCCGAGCACGGCTACGCCTCGGTGCTGCCCTTCGACGGCGACTATGCCAGGAAGAAAACAAAGGCGGCAGGCCTGGTGCGCAAGGCCCCGAACAACAGGTACCGTCCCCCGCGCTCCCGCCCCGGCCGCATCCGGCCGCACCCACCCCCCCGAGCGCCCCGCCGCCTGCGCCCGGGCCCTCGGCCCGCGCGTCCCCCGTGCGCTGTCCGCGCGCAGACCGGGCGGCCGGCGTGGAGGAGGCGGCGCGCCCCCGGCCCCGCCCGGCCCCGCCCGCCGTCGCCATCTTCCCGCGGCCGCGCCTCCCGGCCGCTCGCGTAAACAGTGCCACGAGTACAGCCGGCGCCCCGCCCGTCCCGCGGGTGCGGGTGTCGGGCCGCCCTGTCCTGGCGCGCGGGGCGCGGGCGTCGGGCCCGCCCCATGCGTCCGGCGTGCGGGCGTCGGGCCCGGCCCTTGCGCAGGGTGTGGGTGTCGGTTCGCCCGGTGCAGCCCAGGGCTCGTGGGTGTCGTCGGCGTCGGGGCCGCCCTGTGCGCACGGCGGGCTGTGTCACGTCTGGGTCGCCAGCGTCCAGAACCCCCGGCCCCCTCACCCAGGTGCAGGGCCAGCACCCCGTCCGCTTGGGCCCCGGGCCTCCTTGTTTCCGCACCGTTGGGTCGGGGGCGAGCTTGGGGGCCCCGTCTGGCCCGGGGGCGGCACCCTCTGGTGTAGAGAGCAAGGACCTGGGAAAACCCGGGAAGGGTGCCTCGCCTGGGTGGGGCCTGGAGCTCGGTGCCGGGGCCCAGGTAGGAGGCGCGCGCAGCCGGGCGCAGGCTCCGTGATCCTCAGGACTGGCCATCCCCAGTCTCTGCAGGGAACAGCTTGGGGAGGCGTGCTTCCTGTGTACTGATGCCTGCCCTTCACCACCAGCGAGCCTCCACACTCTGGGCACTGCCCTTGCCCCATCTTTGTCACTGGAAAACTGAGGCATGGGGAGGTCTGTAAGCTGACTCTGCACTCATGGCCAGCTGGAGGACACTGGAAGCAGGACCCAGAGGGTCTCCGGGCTAGGGCAGAGCAGGGACCAAGGGCTCTGAGCTTCCCTCAGTCTTCTGTATCTGTCCAGTCCGGACAAGGAGGGGGCAGCCTGTGGGAGCAGGGCAGGAGTGGCAGGGCAGAACAGGTCTCCTGTGGGTGGAGCAGGTGAGCTGGGCAGAGGTCCCTGCACCTAGTCACCACCGCCAGCCCCAGCCCCTCCAGGGTGGAGTCCTGTCCAGCCTTAAGGGGATGTCTGGCCACATGTGGCAGAGGGTGAGTGTTCTTTCCTGGGCGTGTGACCCCTGGAGCCTGCTTCAGAGTCACCTGAGGCCACAGCAGGAGCCACTGCCCAGCACTGCCCTGCCCAGAAGGAGTTGGCGGATAGTGCCCGTGCAGTGGAGGTGGTACAGTGCCCCTCAGCCCACGGACCACAGAATGGATCAGGGTCCTGCCTGCCCGGCCTTGTTCTCAGGAGCCTCTGGATGGGGAGTCCGGAGCTGGAAGCTGGGCCTCTGCAGAGGGGCACAGGGCAGTGTGCCCAGAGCTGCCCTGCTGCTGCTGGAACTCCTCTGAAAGGCCACATGGGGCTGTCAATGGTGCCATGATCCCAGCCGGCCTTGACCTTCCCCGCTGCCCCACAGGGCACACAGGTCCCCTGGGGACTGGTCCCTTTGTCTCTGTGTCCCTGTGTCGCATGGCACTGAGACTCCTCCCGAAGGCCAGCCCGGTGGAGCTGCTCTGACCGCTGGCCCTGGCCATCCTGGGCTGCACTATGTGCTGGTCCCACTGACTGTCTGTCTCCTCACGCAGGTCCTCGCACAACGAGCTAGAGAAGCACAGGTGAGTGACCTGTCCTCTGTGGTGATGGCCGTGGGCCCCGGCCCTGCCTCAGTCTCCGCCTGGGGTCCGGAGCTGGTGCCCTATTGTGGGGAGGACACTGTGTGCTTGGGGATGTCTGAGTGCCGGGAACAGGAGCACCTTGGTGCCGGGATGCTGCGCACACCAGGCAGGCTCCTGCTCTGGGCTGACCACATCCCCTGTGCCTGCCGGCTGTGCCCCGTTTTTCCAGCACATGTGTTTAAGCCACTTGTGCTACATCTTGTCTAGGGCCATGGACAGCACAGCCCAGTGGGATACTCTGGCCTGTGTGTCCTGCACATACCTGTCACCAGTGTTAGGACAAGCCCAAGTGGGGCCCCTTGGAGGAAGGAAGGGCAGCTGGAAGCCGAGGAGGCCCCGGCCTCGCCGCTGGGCTGTGGGAGTGACCTGCTGGCTGCCTCCAGGTGCAGGTGGGTCCCAGCCCAGGGCCAGCTCCGCGTGGCTCTGCATCCAGCCATGCAGCGTTGAGCCTCTTGGTCGGGGTGGGGGGAGAGGGGTCTGTGCGTGGCAGCTGGCTTGCTGGGTTCCCTGGAGGACCTGCACTTCCTGGCCTGATCCTAGAGCCTCCTGAGAGGCCATGGCGGGGCCCGCTGCGTCAGCGGTGTTCTGGAGAGACTTCTGGGTGCCCCACAGATGGAGGGCAAAGGGGCAGGCATGGGGCTGCCCGGGGTGTGGCCTGCAGAGCTGAGGGGCTGCTCCTGGACCCTAGCTGCAGCCACTGTCATAAGGCCTCTGGGAGCCAGGGCTGCGCAGGTGGGGGACAGTGGGGCCACTTGAGTCCCACACAGGGGTCTCTGTCTGTCAGGCCTCTAGGAGTCAGGGCTATGCAGGTGGGGGACAGTGGGGCCACTTGAGCCCCACACAGGAGTCTCTGTTCCTGCCCAGCTTGAACTGGTGCTGATGCCTCAAGAACCTCAGGTGGGGTTGTGTGTGTGTTGTGGCGGGGGGACTCAGGTGACAGGTGCACTTGGCCACTGGCACAGGAAGTTGGAATGCCTGGGAGGAGGGGGGGGAAGGAGAAGAGGGGGAGGAGGAGGGCAGGAGAGAAAAGAGGGAGGAGGGAGGGAGCATCTGGGCACCTGGAGGTGCTGGGGTCCTGCCCCATCTGTCCCAGAGCTGTCTGCCCAGCCTGTGCCCTGTTCCAATCCAAGGCCTGGGACAGCCTGGGCCTTCCTCCCCGTGGCTTAGTGCTCAGCCCTTAGACATCTCACAAGCTGTCCTGGGAGGGGGCAGCTCTCCTCACTGCCCCCCTCAGGCTGTCTCACAGGGCCAGAGGCTCCATATCAGAGGACCTGCAGGGGCACGTGCTGGCCCCGTGTCCTGAGTGTGCCCTGTCCTGAGCCTCTGGGGTTTTGCCAGGTCCCAGGAAGTGAGGGTCGCAAAGAAGAAAGGCCACAGCCCAGGGGAGTGGTGCTTCTCTGGCCCTAGCCCCCAGCCTCACTTCCGTCTCCTGACAGCCAGGGCCTGAATCTCAGTGCTGGCGACCTGACCCAGGGTCCCGACCCTTGGGTGCCCGTGTGTTGGGTTGGGCCATGGCCGTCCCCAGTGGACACAGTTGCAGCAATGCCTCCAGACAGCTCTGTTCCCTGAACCCACGCTTCAGAGCCCCTTCAGGAGGGTAGCTGAAGCTCCCAAGAATTCTGGGTTCAGTCACAGTGTCCCCACTGCCAGGCTGGTACAGTTGCTTCCTAGGGCCCTTAGAAGTCCAGGGTGGACTGAGTGAGGTATCAGGGGACCACTGATCCATGGAACCACATGTGGGCCTCTGCACCCCACCAGGAGTGTTCTCTGAGCATTGCTGATTGTACCCCCAAAATGGAAAATAATAGAAATCTAGGTGCCCCTAAGGCTGGGCTGTGCCCCAGGAGCACAGGAAGTGGGTGCTTACAGAGATCTGCAGACACAGAGAGTGGGACGCTGCCTTGGGTACCCCTGCACTCCCAGGCTCACCCCAGCACGCTCCTGTCCTGCAAGCCAGGCTGTGTGCCCAGTCCCTCTGGGCGTAGGTGCAGGGCTGTGTCAGTGGGGGGATTCTGACTGCAGTGGGGCACCCTTGTAGCATGCCCTTGAGAGCTGAGGCCACACCAGTGTCCCTTGTCCCAGTGCTTGTCTTGCATTAGAGCGGCAGCTTTTTTGCGGTCCACCTGCCCCTCCTAGCGGCTGTACCCATGCAGCGCCCATGGCACGGCCCTCTGGCCCACACCCGGGTCCGGTCAATGTCCTCTCTGCTGGCCATGCATACAGAGTGTGACTTGCCCTGGGACTCCCGCCCCCAGGCCCATGGCCAGTTTCAGGGTGCTGTGGGAGTTCCCAGCATCTGTGTGTATGTGTGTGTGTGTGTATGTGTGTGTGTGTGCGCTGTGATTCGCTGTCTGTATCTCTGCCCATTTCCACAGGAGCTCCCCACCCAGCCTCTGTCATTTTTACATGTATCACGAAAACTCTCCACTGTGACATGTCTCAGCTGTTTTTTCTTTCTTGTACAATGTGTCTTTTCCTGATTGTAAAAGTAATATGTGGTTTTTTTTAGTATAGAAAACCCGGAAAGTGCCCCCAAAAGCACAAAGCCAAAGAGATAAGCGCTGCCCAGCCGCCGCCGGAGCCGCGTGCGCCGCCTCCACTGTCTCCTGTCCAGTCTGTGTGTGCGTCCGCTGTGTCCTTTCACAGACCACACGCCTCCCTCGTCTGTGGCTGGCTCTGTACACTGACGGGCTCACTTAACGCCCAGGCCGTGAGAATCAGCTCGGGGGGGTAGGACTCGGGGCCTCTCGCTTCTCTCCTTCTGTGGTCTGTGTTTGCTGGTGTCCCATTGCGGTCGGTCACGCTTGTGCCATGAGCAGCAGACGTCAGGGTTTCCCTGGGCATGGCGCAGGTGGAGCAGGTCTCTGGTCCTGTGGGGACACCTGGGTGAGGGGGTCCGGCCATTCCCGCACCGTCCCCTGGTAACAAATGCTGGCCTGGGACAGGCACAGTGGGTAATCACCTGAGGACCTTCAGCCTCATGACCAAGCCTGACCCCTCTGCCTGATGCTCAGGCTGGCCACAGTCTCTGCCTACATCCTGGAAGGTCCCCAGGTCCAAGCGGCTCACCTTGAGAGGGCTGGTCCGTGCTGGGGACAGTGGGAAGTGTTGGTGGGGGGAGTGTGCCGCGCAGATGTGGGGCCGGGTGGCCCGCTCTCCTTCGCCTGTCGCCCTCCTGCGGGCCTGGGGCAGGTGCTGCAGCCTACTGAGAGCTGGACACAGCCTGGCCCGGCCTGCTCTGGGGAATGAGGCCAGCACAGATGGCCTCTGCCTGGCGTGGGGACATGGGCCTTATGTTTCCTGTGGTGGCGATGAGCAGGTGCTCTGAGGCTGCTGATCCCGGGCGCAGCCACTGGCACCGTGTGCCCTCGGCCCAGTGTGAGGGGACTTGGTGCTGGCAGTGAGCCCGGGGCTCGGGCTGAGGCAGCTGGCCACCACTCGGGGCTGGAGGCCCCCGGCTGCCTCATGGGGGTGTTGGTCGGGAGGCCCTGCCCCCAGCTGGCGTCCGCGCTGCTGTGCTGTCCCCGGGCCCTGCCTGCTCACCGGACTCCACTGCTTTCAGACGAGCCAAACTCAGGCTGTACCTGGAGCAGCTCAAGCAGCTGGTGCCACTGGGCCCTGACAGCACCCGCCACACCACGCTGAGCCTCCTGAAACGTGCCAAGACACACATCAAGGTGAGCGGCATCCGGGACCCTCCTGTGCAACCGTCTGCAATGAGGGCACCAGGAGGGCTAGGGGTCCTGCTGATGCCTTGTGGGAAACCAGTGGGAAGGAGGCTGTCTGAGGGGAAGGTTGTAGCCTGGTGGGGAACCTAGGAGCCCTGCCTGGGGGAGTTGCCATAGACCATGGGATGGGCCCCAAACCTCCTGGAGCGGGGAGGAGGCACCTCAGGTACCCACTTAGTACGGGAGTTGCAGGTTTGGGCCCTGTCTGGCTAGGCTGGGGAGGGGGTTCTGCCCAGCCTGGGGGCTCATGGCCACCCCCCGCCCCCAGAAATTGGAGGAGCAGGACCGCCGGGCGCTGAGCATCAAGGAGCAGCTGCAGCGGGAGCATCGCTTCCTGAAGCGGCGCCTGGAGCAGCTGTCACTGCCGGGCCTGGAGCGCGTGCGCACAGACAGCACCGGCTCGGCCCACTCCACAGACTCGGAGCAAGGTGGGTGGGGCGGGGTCTGGGGTGCGTGTCCCCAGGAGGGCAGTGTGACCCTCACTTCGGGGGTCCCGGGGCGTCTAACTGACTCCCTCTGTGCTGCGCAGAAGTGGACGTGGAGGGCATGGAGTTTGGCCCCGGCGAGCTGGACAGTGCCGGCAGCAGCAGTGACCTGGATGACCACTACGGCCTGCAGGGTGACTGCGGGGGACACTGCGGCTTGTCCTAGGCCAGGCCCTGCGCGACCCTGCAGTCCTGCCAACTCCCTGGGCCCACTGCTGTGCCATTCCAGAAGCTCTGAGCTGCCCGCACCCCTCCCCGGGGCCGGCAGCAGGTCTCAGATCCCTAATCATTCCACAAGTATTAATGGGTGCCAGGGAAGCCCAGGAGGAGGCGAGCACTGCAGAAGGAGGCAGGAAGGCAGCATGGACCCCAGGACCTACAAAGGGCGGGGTTGGGTCAGGATCGGGTGAGCACCGGGATGCTGGCCAGGCCCCTCTGCCCCTGTTGCTGGGCCCGCACCTGGCGCCTCAGGGCTTTGTCCCCCCTTAGAGAAGATTGCTGCTCTGCCGAGGCCAGGCTCCCCCACAGGCTCCCCAGGCATTCGCCGACTGTTTTTTACAGAGAGGGAAGGCTGGGAGGCTGGGGCGCTCCCTGCCCCCTTCCCTATGAGATTTTGTACTCTATTTTCCTAGCTGTGTTGCGTCCTTGTGTGCTGAGGGGGCAGTGACCCAGCGTCTCAGGGACTCGTCCGTCTGTCCCCGTCACCCATGTGTGCCTGTGCCCATCTGCCCACCGTGCCCACCACCAGCATCACCCCCAGCTCCCGGGACCCCCTTACCTGCTCTCCACGGGCTGGTAGGGCTGTGGAAGGGGCCGCCTTGTCCCTTCTCCCAGGGCTGTCGGGCAGAGGAAGAGGCTCCTTCTTGGATGGCTGCAGCTCGGCAGCTGGGGCAGTGGTCCCAGGACACAGGCATTGGCAGCTGAGTCCACTCTGGCTCCAGGGATGTGGCCTGGCATTCATTGGTGCCTCTCCTGGCCACTGGTCCCTGGCTCCCTCTTCCTGGGACACTCAGCAGTACTCTCAGGGGCCCTGGGTGGGGCTGCCTCCCCCTGCAGCAGGGAAGCAGGTAGCCCCCCCCCCCCCCGGCTGGAAACAGCCCACAGAGCTTGGGCTGGGAGATTGTCTGAACATTGGGCTGGGGGCTGTATCCCCTCTTGGCAGCCTGTGTGCCCTTGTCTTCCGGCCTCGGCCTCACCCCCCATACTGGAGGCTCTCACTGACCAATCTCTGGGTCTCTGCAGAGGTCCTTTGGTGAGCTTCTGGCAGCTGAGTCTTTGAAGCAGCAGTGCCCACTGGGCTGTCTCCCCTGCCCCACCTCTAGCAGAGCCGAGCTACGCCCCGGCCTGGTGCCAGGAGTTGCGCACTATGGCTCCCTGCTGTTCTGCGCGGGCTGGCCTGCTGGAGGCCTGGCAGGAAAGAGCTGCCCTGATGCTGTTGAGGTCTGCAGTGGGCAAGCTTCCTGGGGGTGGTACCCAGGCTGCCTTCCAGGGGCACCTGGGGCCTGTCTTGGGGCCTTGAGCCTCCACCCTCCTATCTGCTCTGGACAGTCCCTAGCTGCTGGGCCACCGACTTTGCTCTGTACACCCTCCTGTTCTCTGGGCCTGCTGACCTGGACCTCATCCCCACTGCCAGGCACAGGTCATGTCTGGGCTCCAGGGCAGGCTCTATGCCAGAGAATGGGCCCCTGGGGGGCCTGGTGCTGGCCACCTGGGCATGTTACACAGTCTTGGCTGGAGGGGTCACCTGCCTCCTGTCCCTGGTGGCATCTGTGCTATATTCTTGTCTTTGTAATATAAATACAGATTTTATACCTCACGCCCATGGCTTTGTTCTTTTTTTAATTATTTTTGTCTTTTTTTTTTTTTCAAAGACGCACCTGGTGGTTTACAGGGCTTACTCCTGGCTCTGTGTTCTGGGATCACTCCTGGCAAGGCTTAGGGACCCTGTGGGGTGCTGGGGTTAGAGCCCTTGTCAGCTATGTGCAGGGTCAGTGTCCTCTTCTCCATCTGGTCTCAGGGTCCTCGTCTATTCTGTTCCCTGCTCTGTCCCCCGCTGCTGACCTCAGCTGCCCTCCTCATGTGCTTTCAGGAGACCCATGCTGAGACCCCATCTGCCTCCCTGGCCAGCTCCATCCAGAGCTCCTGGAGCTCGCTCTGGCAACCTTGCTGAGACCTGGTTCCTCCGTCAGGGTGCCTGCAACAGCTGGTCACCCTTCCAGGGCCACTGCTACTCTGATCTTCTTCCTCCTTGGTTCTTGGCCTCTCCACTCTGGCAACAGATGGACGGCCACACACAGTGGTTAGAGTGGTTAGCCTGCTCCTGGCTCCTCTGGGAGGGGGACCCTGGTCGCCTGAACTGCATCACCACCTGAGCCTGGCGCCTCCCATAGCTTCCTCTCTTCCATCCCTGATCTCTGGCCCTGAGTGTCCCTGTTCACTGGCCTCTCCTGGGTCTTCCCAGCATGGAGCAAGGGTGTGACTTGTCTGTTTCTCATAGTAGTTCTGAGGCCTGGCTCCTAATTACTTTCAGTCCCCTCAGCCCTGCCCTTCCTTTCTTCCTGTCTCCCTTTCTCCACAGCCTTCTTGCCCTTCAACCGCATATCCCAACCCACTGGGCCACCTTGGTGAGCTGTGACCCAACTCTCTTCCCCTGAACTTTCACCCTTGTGTGATGCAGCAGGCTGGGAAACGACCCCTCACTTCTCACCTGTGCAAACCTCCAAGCACAGGCAAGGGCTTGCCCCCCAGAGAGCCACAGTTTGCCCACAGGGCATGCAGCATCACCTGATTATTTCTGGCCTCAGTCCTGCATGCTGCCCTCCAGGTGGCCTGGCCCTGTGGAGCACCTCTCCAGAACAGGACCCCTTCCCAACTTCCCTTACTGCAGAATCATGCAGTTTCTCTTACTTTTTCTTGTTGCTGTTTCTGTTTTGGGCACACCTAGAAGTACTTAGGGTTTACTTCTCGCTCTGTGCTCTGGGATCATTCCTGGCAGGGCTAGTGGGTGCCAGGGATCGAACCCAGGTTGGCCTTGTGCAAGACAAACTTTCCGTCAGGTCCAATGGCACTGGCCCTTCTCACCTTAAGACAGAGTTCAAAGCCTCTGCCTCCCCCACCCCTGGACCCACACCCAACCTCCTGTCCTGGGATTGCTTCCTTTTCCACCTCTCCCTCCATCTCTGCCTCCTTTTTTTTTTTTTTTTTTTTTTTTTTTGCTTTTATGTGTCATACCCAGCTCCGGGGTTACTACTGGCTCTGCACTCAGGAATTCCTCCTGGCGGTGCTTCCGGGGATCCAACCCAGATCAGCCGCGTGCAAGGGAAATGCCCTACCCGCTGTACTATCACTCTGGCCCCTCTGCCCCCTTCTTAACGACAAAAAGCTCCATTTGCAAGAGCTCATCTCCTGAGGATCTACATGATCCTGGGTATATATGTATATGAACTAGGCATATCTGTGAAAAAGCAGACCATGAGTCATACATTTATTTGGAAACAAAATTTGTAAAAGTCACTACAGTCTAGGCTCTAAATGAGGGAATTGTCAAGGCTGAGGCTGAGGGAGTGGGGGTGACCGGGCGTGTCCTAACGCTCAGATTTCAACCTCACACGTGTAAGTGTGGATCGCTAGAAAACGGACAAGCACAGATGATTCTGTCCGGTGGAGGTGCAAGTAAGTCGTGTCAATACAAACGATGACCTCAAAAGTCTGGTTTCGTGGCACTGGAGGCATCGGCCAGATTTGCACCCCTCTTCGCAGGCAGGGGCGGGCGCCGGGAGTGCACGGGGCTCACACTGCGCCGTCTGCACGCACGGCCAGCGCCGCCGGACTCCAGCACCTTAGCTGACGGCGCACGTTCTGCTTCTCAGTTCTGCTGCTCAGTTCTGTCCCGGACGTTCAGCAAAGCGCCGCCGCCGCCTCCGCCCGCCGGACCTTCCGGGCGACCGGGCCGCCCTCGCGCCCGCCTCTGCCGCGGAAGGCCAATCAGCACGCTCTCTGGAGATGACGTCACCAGGGCGGAAAGGCGTCCGTTAGCCCACTCCTCAGACCCCGCCTCTTCTGGAGCCGCGCCTGCGTAAAGAGCCCCCCGAGGCCCAGCTCCACCCTCTGCGCGTGCGTGGTCGTGGCCTCCCGTGAGGCAGTGCGAGCTGCCGGCGCGGCGGCGGGCTCCTGAGGCGCGGAGCGACTGACTTCAGGTGAGTGACGCCGGCGTCAGGTTCAAGGCGTTGGCAGGCGCGGCCGTTCTTCAGTCCGGCGACGTAGTCGCGGCCGTCAGGGAGACGGGCAGGGGTTTGGGGCCGGGCGCCCGTGAGGGGGCCGGGGCGGGCGGCGGCGGCCGGGCGTTGCGGGTGGGCGTGCTGGATCGGGGCGGGCCTGGGACTGGGGGCGTCCGTCCTGCGGCTGTGCTGGCGCGGCGGCGGGCCCGAGCGAGAGGCCAGGCCCGGGGCACCCGGTGCTGCGGCCAACGCTCGCGGAGGGCTCCGTGCGTCCTGCCGCGCGCGCGGCGCTGAGGTGCCTGCGCGTCTGTTTCGCTCCCGAGGAGCCCGACGGGGAGCGACGTTTCCCGACCAGAGCTTTCCCCGCGACCCGAGGTGGCCGGGACCCGCTTGTCCGCTCCTCCCGGAGTCGCGCGTTTGCGTTCTAACGTTTGGTGTTTACCTCCGCAGGAGGAACCTTGGTAGATTCTAAAACCCCATTTCCTCCTTGGCGGGCCACGTAGCCGCGCCGCTCTCGGGATTCGTTTTCTAATCGTCAGCGTCTAAGTACAGCCATGAGCTGTGGGAACGAGTTTGTGGAGACGTTGAGGAGAATCCACTACCCCAGCGCCGAGGCGCTCAATGGGGAGGATTTTGATTGGCTGTTTGAGAGGGAGGAAGAGGAGGCGTTTCTGAGGTGGTTCTGTGGCGTGGTGAGCGAGCTGCCTGTCCTGGCCGACGATGAGCTGAAGGCCTTCGCCGCGCTGCAGGAATCTGGCCAGCCTGTCCTGGACGGAGCCGCGTTGGAGGAAGCCCTCAAAACCTGCCAGCCTTCCGACTGGAGGACGCCTGCCCTGGAAGATAAGGAGCTCGAGAAACTGGAGGCGGAGCTTCAAATGTTGCAGAAATTAAAGAACCTAAAAATTCAGCGACGCAATAAATACCAGTTGATGGCCTCAGTAACCAGTCACAAGTCTCTGAGCTTACAGGCTAAAGAAGAGGAAGCCACGAAAAAGCTGAAACAGAGTCAAGGAATATTAAACGCCAAGAAGACTAAGATCAGCAATGAACTTCAGGCTCTTTCTGACTTAGTAGCAAAATTGATGACGTTCTTTAGGAATTCTGGTTTTGGTCAAGGGACAGATCCACTAGTGTTTCTGTCTCAGTTTTCCTTGGAGAAGTATCTAAGACAAGAAGAGCAAAGCACAGCAGCATTAACTTCATATACCAAAAAACACTTTTTCCAGGGTATACTCGAAGTAGTTGAAAGGTCGAATGAAGAAAATTTTCAACTTTTAGATATACAAACACCATCTACTTGTGACAGTCAAGAACTTCTTGAGGAGAGACGACTGGAGATGGCTAGACTGCATCTTGCATACCTTTGTATTCAACATCAGTTAATTCGCTTGAAAGCAAATAACTTGAGCATGAAATCAAGAATTAAATGGCTAGAGGAGAACCTTCATCACTTCACTGACAAGGTAAACAAAAAACCTATATTTGTATTCTTAATTAGAAATGAAAGATATGTAAGTATTAAAAAACTTTATGGGTTGAATAGAATATTAATGACATTTATTTATGTATGGTTTTTGGGCTATGTCCTCAGTGCTCAGGACTTACTCCTGGCTCTGCACTCAGGGATCACTCCTGGCAGTTTAGTGGGGATTAGGTGGTGCTGGGGATCAAACCTGGTTAAGAAACATGCAAGACAGGTGCCCTACCTGCTGTTCTGTCACTGTGGCCTGATAGAGTCACATTTAAGTATTTCTCAGCTGTGATGTGTGCCAGTGTTTCATACGAATGGGTGATTGTACTATTGGAAATAACATTTAAAGTCCCCGGTCACAGAGGGCTGGAGTGATAGTATAGCGGATAGGGCATTTGCCTTGCATGTGGCTGATCCGGGTTTGATTACATCCCATATGGTCTCTTGAACTCACCAGGAATGATTTCTGAATATAGTCAGAAATAACCCTGAGCACTGCCGGGCCTGACCCCAAAACTGAAAAAGATTGTGTGTGTGTGTGTGTGTGTGTGTGTGTGTGTATGTGTGTATTACATATATACACACACATACATATGTGTGTGTATGTATAATTTCAGTCACATTACTCAGATGATTAAATTATTTTATTATTTTTTAGGTTTTGGGGTCATATCTAATGATGTTCAGGGTTACTCCTGGCTTTGAGCTCAGGAGTTACTCCTGGTGAGCTTGGGGGACCATATGGGCTGCTAGGGACTGAAATTAGGTCGGCTGTATGCAAGGTAAGCGCCTTCCTTGCTGTACTGTCTCCAGCCCCATATCTAGCTGATTTATTTATTTATTTATTTTTTGAGCCACATCTCAGAGTTAACTCCTGGTTCTGCATTTAGGAATCACTTCTGGTGTGCTTGGGGGACCATATGGAATGCTGCAATTTGCAGGGCAGTTGCCCTACCCACTGTACTCAGTCTGGTCCTTCCAGCTGATTTTAAACAAAGTAATTTCAGGGACCTGAGTGAGCTACAGTAGTCAGGGGGTGGGACACATGATTTGTATGCAAATGACCCTCGTATGATGACCCTGTTCTTCTGAGCCCCACAAGGAATGATACCTGAGCATAGCCAGTTGTGGCTCAAAAAAAGTGTTTTCACACTCTTGTGGGCTGGAGCGATAGCACAGCGGTAGGGCGTTCGCCTTACAAGCGGCCAACATGGCCGACCCGAGTTCGATTCCTCTGCCCCTCTCGGAGAGCCCGGCAAGCTACCGAGAGTATTCGATATGCCAAACACAGTAACAACAAAGTCTCCAATGGAGACGTTACTGGGCCCGCTCGAGCAAATCGACGATCAACTGGAGGGCCTTTACCTTTTTTTACACTCTTGTATTTAAAATTTGTGTTGGTTTAGTATAAAATAATATAAAGTATAGTATAAAGTAAATGGATTTTTTTTTGGTTTTGGGTCACACCTTGGTGTGCTCAGGACTTCCCTCAGAGATCATTCCTGTTTGGCTCAGGGAACCATATGGGGTACCAGGGATTGAGCCTCAGTTGACTTTTCTTGCTAGACAAACACCTTAACTACTATACTGTTCTTCTGGCCCCAGAATTTCCTTTTTTAATGATGGATGGAATTATCCTTACTGCTGTTTTAAGGATTTTCTGACTGTTTCTATCCAGAGTATGGTGTTCATGAAATCAAACCAACTTAAGTGGATTGAAACCACTGATTATAATTTGAAGATACTGACCAGTATGATAAAGAACTAAAGAAATTAGCAGATGAGGTTCAAATGCTGCAGAAATTATTTGTTGAGAATCAGATAGAATGTGGGCTGGAGCGATAGCATAGCAGGTAGGGCGTTTGCTTTGCAAGCGGTCAACATGGCCAATCCGAGTTCGATTCCTCCGCCCTTGAGAGCCTGGCAAGCTACCCTTGACGTGTTCAATATGCCAAACTGTGTAAGCTCACACAATAGGGGCGCAGCACACACAGCGGCTGTGGCTCTATCTCTTCCGCCGCTCGCGTTCGGTAGTCTCACCCTTCTCCCACCCCGGAGAGGTCGATGGCAATGGTCAGGCAGAGGAAGGAACGAGGACCAGGCTGGTAGGTATTAAAGGTAAAGGTAAAGGCCCTCCCGTTGATCGTCGATTTGCTCGAGCGGGCCCAGTAACGTCTCCATTGGAGACTTTGTTGTTACTGTGTTTGGCATATCGAATACTCTCGGTAGCTTGCCGTAGCTTGCCGGGCTCTCCGAGAGGGGCGGAGGAATCAAACTCGGGTCGGCCATGTTGGCCGCTTGTAAGGCGAATGCCCTAGTTGTAGTTTATTCTGATTCTCTCTTCATCTGTCTCTGCTCTCTTCTCCTTCTGTCTCTGCTCCTGTCTCTCTCTGTTTCCCCACCTTCTGCCCAATCTACCGTCTCCTTATACCTCTCCCCAAGAGGAATTGGGGAAACAATTACACATAGGTACGGTCACAATCAATAGGGGTAGAGATCACTAGGGGTAGAAATCTTAGCCTCAGGGAAGGCCTCTCCTAGGACAGATCCTCTCTCAGCAGGAGGACCCACCCTAGAGCGGAATCCCATGGGCATGCCTCTCCTCTCCTTGTCCGACAAGCATATAAGAATATAATATAAATTTTGTATGGATACAGTAAGAAATATCTTAAACTTATAGAATTGCTCTCCTCGGGCCATCTCAATCTCAGACTACGGTGCTCAGGCCAGATAGTCTTTTCCACCCCTAGCAGGATCCTAGTCTTGTCGTTACCTTTGGATCATGACAGCATTTGTCTATGATCAAACTCTTTTTTTTTTTTTTTTATTTTAATTTTCTTTCTTTTTTTTTTTAGGGTCTTTTTTTTTCTTTTTTTTTTTCTAATTATTATTTTTATTTATTTATTTATTTATTGAATCACTGTGGGAAAGGTTACAAAGCTTTCAGGTTTATGTCTCAGTCATGCAAATATCAAACACATTTCCCTTTACCAATACTTATTTTTTCCCATGAAGAACCCCAATAAAACCCCACCCCCCACCCCTCCCCGTCCCTGTGAGGCAGATGAATTCTAGTTAACACTCTATCCGCTTTGATTAGATTATTTCAATAAAAGATTCACCACTATTATTTAGAGTTTACCCCCCCCCCCCCCAAATCAGACATGCTGAAAAAGCATTGTGAAGTGATTTGCTTTCTACAGCTGGGTTCAAGAATTAAATGTTGGTTTTGGATTTCTGCTATTTTACCTATTGACCCTGGAAGTATTTCTACTGAAAGTCAGATAGTTAAGAAATTGGTTTCTGTGTTCTGGAGTCGTGGCCGTGCTGGAGAGCCGCTCGCGGGGGGGCAACTGGTGGCCTCGGTAGGGCGTGAAGGGCGGAGCGAAACGCCCCCCTTCCCATGAGGTTTTAGTCGCCCCCACACTCCCGGCTCATACCTGCTGTCCACAAGGCTCCCATGTGGCCGCCATCTTTCTTTCCAGAGAGGAGAGGGCGAATGGGGCAACATCCTTTCCCCTCCGGCAGACTTGATGGGCTGGATCAACTCATAGTCCGTTCACTTTTCTGCTCCAAGCTGCTGGGTTCTGCATTAAGTCCTTGTGCTTCTGGGGCCATGGCCGTGCTGGAGAGCCGCTCGCGGGGGGCGACTTGTGACCTCGGTAGGGCGTGAAGGACGGACCGGAACGCCCCCCGACCCATGAGGTTTTAGTCGCCCCCACTCCCCCGGCTCATACCTGCTGTCCACAAGGCTCCCATGTGGCCGCCATCTTTCTTTCCAGAGAGGAGAGGACGAATGGGGCAACACCCTTTCCCCTCCGGCAGACTTGATGGCCTGGATCAATGCATAGTCCGTTCACTTTTCTGCTCCAAGCTGCTGGGTTCTGCATTAAGTCCTTGTGCTTCTGGGGCCGTGGCTGTGCTGGAGAGCCGCTCGTGGGGGGTGACTGGTGACCTCGGTAGGGCGTGAAGGACGGACCGGAACGCCCCCCGACCCATGAGGTTTTAGTCGCCCCCACTCCCCCGGTTCATACCTGCTGTCCACAAGGCTCCCATGTGGCCGCCATCTTTCTTTCCAGAGGGAGGAGGGCGGAAGGGAGCAACACCCTTTCCCCTCTGGGCAGAAATGATTGCCTGGATTAACGCATAGTCCTTTCACTTTTCTGCTCCAAGCTGCTGGGTTCTGCATTAAGCCCTTGTGCTTCTGGGGCTGTGGCCGTGCTGGAGAGCCGCTCGTGGGGGGCAACTGGTGACCTCGGTAGGGCGTGAAGGACGGACCGGAACGCCCCCCTTCCCATGAGGTTTTAGTCGCCCCCACACCCCCGGCTCATACCTGCTGTCCACAAGGCTCCCATGCGGCCGCCATCCTTCTTTCCAGAGAGGAGAGGGCGAATGGGGCAACACCCTTTCCCCTCCGGCAGTCTTGATGGCCTGGATTAACGCATAGTCCTTTCACTTTTCTGCTCTAAGCTGCTGGGTTCTGCATTAAGTCCTTGTGTTTCTGGGGCTGTGGCCGTGCTCCAAACTTAACTCTGACTTTCAGGGAGAAAGATTGGGTGGTTTACTTCTCATTGATCACTTTGTATATAGAGAGATGTCCTCGTTCTGTCCTCGTTTTTTGAGAAAAAGTCCTCGTTCCCGCATACTCGAGCTGTGTTTGTAGAGGCTTCTGGTCACCGGGGTTCCATCTGGGGGAGGCGGGATGTGGCACCTACTCCATCTGGAACTTGCGGGTGAACTCGGCTCTTTTTGGAACCTGTTTTTTCTTTTTTTTTTTTCCTCCGGGATCCCGCACCCTCCATGTGTTCTTTCTCTTATGCTTAAGGCTTCTGATCAAACTCTTATAGTTAAGAATCATGGCACTTTGTCCTGGCCCATTTCGCTGCCAGGGTAGCTCACCGCTTGCCCTGGGTCCATTCAGTCCCTCGTCGGGACCCTGCTTTTAGGGTGTTAGGAACTAAGGGCAACTGAGGCTTAAGTCGAGAAAGCAGATGCCCGGGAGTGAATAATATTCAAAGCCAATCAAATCCTAAGTTACAAAGCATAATGTTAACGGTCTTCCTGTATCTATACAAAAAGGATATTACTTTAAAGTAAACTGTTCATAAGGCATAAGGAGAGGAGAAAGGCAATATTTCACTCATACATATAAAATCATAGATTTCTGGGAAACTGATCTTACAAATTAACAAAGTCTGATTAAGGGGAAAGCTGATTAACTCGGTGGGAAGGAGAGCATAGGGAAGACTGTTTACATATAAACACAATGGAAGTAGAAGTGCTTCAGGAGCACTGTGATGGGTGTAACCAGATTAATGGGTGTAACCAGATAAAACCTAAGCTTCCTGTAGAAGGACAAAGCAATGTTACCCAACACCAAACACAGTAACAGTTGTCACAATGGAGACGTTACTGGGCCCGCTCGAGCAAATTGATGAACACCGGGATGACAGTGACAGTGAGATAGAATGTAGATGTCTGTCTCTACTCCTGGAAAACTTGCTTTCATGATGGTGTTAATTACTAGATAGTTAAGTGAAAGCCCAACTTTTCTGAAATCTGAATAGCAGCAGATAGTTACTATAACTGATACAAACTTTAGAATAGTATGAGACCAGTTTTTCTGTAGTTCTGAAATAAGCTGAAAGTATAAGAGAATAGCTTTTAATATAATTTTAAGAAGATGGGGACAGAGCGATAGCACAGTGGGTAGGGCATTTGCCTTGCACGCGGCCGACCGGGTTCGATCCCTGGCATCTTATATGGTCCTCCCCAAGCACCGCCAGGAGTAATTCTTGAGTGGAGAGCCAGGAGTGACCCCTGAGCATCTCTGGGTGTAACCCAAAAAGGCAAAACAAATATATATGTATATAATTTTAAGAAAAGACTTAATATAATTTTAGAAAAGGTTTAATTTTAATATAATTTTAAGAGAATAACTGTCCTTTTGTTGCCACTACTGTGTGTAACAATAATAACATAAAATTTAGGTTCATACTTGCCTTAACTTCAATTAATTTCAACATTGGTGGTGGGAAATATACACTGGTGAAGGGATGGATGTTAAAAAAATATAGGGAAAAAAATCTTCAACTCATATACTTTTTTTCTATGCTGTAAATTCAGCTTATGCTAGTATAAAATTAGTTCTTTATGAGCATGCTGACTGATCACTTGAAAAGTAAAATTAATTTTAAAACTTGAAATTTTAAAGTGTAATTATTTTCCTTATTGTAGGCTGTTGTCAAAGATAATGTGAATGCTAAAATTTCTAGTTTGAGCAGTGAGATTCTCAAACTTGAAGAAGAAATCGCTCAATTGAAAGAGAGAAGTTTACCTGCTCTTGTAAGAGAGAATGCTCAGTTATTGAATATGCCAGTTGTTAAAGGAGATTTTGATCTGCAGATTGCTAAACAAGACTATTACACAACAAGACAAAAATCAGTTCTGAGTCAGTTGATTAAACAGAAGGCATCATTTGAGCTTCTACAGTTGTCCTATGAACTCGAATTGAGAAAGCATTGGGATATATTTCATCAACTTGAAAGTTTAGCCCAAGAACTTAGTAAAAGTAATGTAATACTCCACCAGCAATTAGAAATGCTAACAGACCCATCAGTATCTCAGCAGATGAATCCAAGGAATACCATCGATACAAAGGATTGTTCTACACAGAGGTAGGTTTTATTGCTTCTTTACTATTTTTTCTTTTTTTTTTTTCAGTAAGATACTGGAGTTTGAATAATTGTGGAAATTAGTAGTATTTGTTGCCATCTATTTTGACCTTTTTATTCTCTTCCACTTTTCTGTGCTTTTTTTTTTTTCTTTAAAATTTTCACCCCTGAGAGACTAAAACCCAAGAACAGTAGAGACAGGTACCAGGAGGATTACTCCACAGTTTAGAAGCCAGCCTCGAATGCTGGGGGAAAAGGCAGCTCAGATAGAGAAGGGACAACCAAGTAAAGGGTGCTAGGAGGGCCGCTCATGATGGGAGATGTGGGCTGAAAGTAGACTATAGACTGAACATGTAAGTAAAGTAAAGTAAAGTAAAGGCCCTCCCGTTGATCATCGATTTGCTCGAGCGGGCCCAGTAACGTCTCCATTGGAGACTTTGTTGTTACTGTGTCTGGCATATCGAATACTCTCGGTAGCTTGCCGGGCTCTCCGAGAGGGGCGGAGGAATCGAACTCGGGTCGGCCATGTTGGCTGCGTGCAAGGCAGATGCCCTACCCGCTGTGCTATCGCTGGGGCTGGAGCGATAGCACAGTGGATAGGGCGTTCACCTTACAAGCGGCCAACTATGGCCGACCCAAGACTGAACATGATGGTCACTTAATACCTCTACTGCAAACCACAAAACCCAAAAGGAGAGAGAGCAAAAGGGAATGCCCTGCCACAAAGGTGGGGTCGAGTGGAGGGTGGGGGTGGTGGGAGGGATGCTGGGACCATTGGTGGTGGGAAATGGGCACTGGTGGAGGGATGGGTACTCGACCATTGTGTGACTGAAACGCAAGCACAGAAGTTTGTAACTGTACCTCACGGTGATTAACTAATAAAAATTAAAAAAAAAAATTCACCCCCCCCGGGGGTGGGGCTGGAGCAATAGCATGGTGGGTAGGGTATTTATTTGCCTTGCACGCGGCCAACCCGGGTTCGATTCCCAGCATCCCATGTGGTCCCCCGAGCACTACCAGAAGTAATTCCTGAGTGAGCCAGGAGTAACCCCTTTGCATCGCCGGGTGTGACCCAAAAAACAAAACAAAAAAACCAAAAATTTTCACTCTCTTTCCATTTATGTTAAACATGGAAGTAGCTAAGTGGAATTTAGAGGAATGACTGTCACTTTTACAGGTGTTTTGTTTTGGGGCCATACCTGGCTGGTGATGCTACGGGGCTACTCTCAGCTTGATGCTTGGGGATTGCTACTAAAAGTGCTCAGGGGGGCTGGAGTGATAGCACAGCGGGTAGGGCGTTTGCCTTGCACGTGGCCGTATTAAAACAAAACAAAAATTTTGTTTTAATACGGATTCTAATTTTTCAATTCTGACATTTAAAGTATTACATTTTATTTTGTACTTGGATCTATTTTTTTTCTTTCCTTTTTGGGTCACACCCAGTGATGCTCAGGGGTTACTCCTGGCTCTGCACTCAGGAATTACTCCTGGCGGTGGTGTGGGGACCATATTGGGATGCTTGGGATTGAACCCAGGTCGGCCGCATGCAAGGCAAATGCCCTACCTGTTGTGCTATCACTCCAGCCCCTGTACTTGGATCTTATTACAGTAATCTTATCTTTCTTATCATAAATGAAGCCTTTCCCCTCAACCCCTTGATAGGCATATAACAAATATATTTCTTATTATTTGGTAAAAAAAAGTTTAAAGAATGGCAAATAGAATTATCAGAAAATAAACCAATAAAAGTCAATTTGTGATGATTAATTAATGGCGATCTTAAAACTTCTTTTACTCTAGTAGAGGACAACCATATGACCATTAGTGATATATACTCACTGCCACACAATGGGAAGTTTCTCCTGTCCTTTAAAAGAACCCGTTTTTTTTTTTTTTCTTTTTGGGTCACACCTGGGGATGCACAGGGATTACTCCTGGCTCTGCACTCAAGTTACTCCTGGCAGTGCTCAGGTTACTATGGGATGCTGGGAATCAAACCCGGGTCCACTGCGTGCAAGACAAACGCCCTACCCGCTGTGCTATCTATCTCTCCAGCCCCTAAAAGAACCCACATCACACTTCTTGCAAAACTGGTTTCGAGGTTATGAATTCCTTAAGCTGTTGCCTGTCCATGAAACTGTGTAATTCCTTTAAATTGAAATGATTATCTAGCTGGATAGAGTATTCGTGGTGAGGTGTTCATTTTGTACCATATCTTCCATATTCTTCTGGCTTGTAGTCTCATTTGATCTTCTGTACATATTACAAACTTTCGTTTAAAGTTCCTTTTTAGATCTTGCAGTTTTCAATATTCTATCTCTTCAAATTTTGTCATTTTTAGTATAATAATAATGTCTTGAAGTTTTTCTAATTGGACTTATTTTCACTGGGCCTCGGATCTCAGTGCTTATAATCCCAACTCTGGAAAGTTCTTATCAATGATTTCTTTAACTATTGTTTCTTTATCACATGTGCCTTCCTGTTTTTCAGGGACTTCATGATTTGATTCTTGTATTTCTTTTGAACTCATCCCATAGTTCTCTGGTATGCTGTTCATTTATTTTCAGTCTATTTTCTACCTTCTGTTTTCTAGTGGTTTCCTCCTCTCATCTTGGAGCTCCTTGATCTTTGACTTAGCTTCTGTTAATTCTGCTGTTCAGAACCTTTATTGACCTTTTTTTTTTTCCTGCTTTTTGGGTCACACTCAGCAATGTTCAAGAGTTACTCCTGGCTTTGCACTCAGGAATTACTCCTGGCGTGCTTGGGGGACCATACGGGATGCTGGGGATTGAACCTGGGTTGACCGCATACAAGGCAAACGCCCTACCCGCTGTGCTATCGCTTCGGCCCCTATTGACCTTTTTTAAGTATCACCTGCCATGTTCTTTGTTTCTGTCATTTCTGATTTTTTTATTTCGACTCTTATACTTCCTTGTGCTTTGATGACTACCTATGCTATCATTTCTTTGAACTCATTAAACATCTTCATACAGCGGGTAGGGCGTTCGCCTTACAAGCGGCCAACATGGCCGACCCGAGTTCGATTCCTCCGCCCCTCTCGGAGAACCCGGCAAGCTACCGAGAGTATTCGATATGCCAGACACAGTAACAACAAAGTCCAATGGAGACGTTACTGGGCCCGCTCGAGCAAATCGACGATCTACGGGAGGGCCTTTACCTTTACCTTTACCTTATAGTGTCACTAAAGACACTGAGAATTTACTGGAGTTATGTCTTCAGTGATGCTATTTTCACTCATTGAGTTTAGTGGGTTTCTATGTGTTTCCTCCCATTGTTTTTCTAGTGTTCTTGCTCTGCAGGGGATGATTTTTGTAGTTAACCTCCTGGAAAATGCTGAGAGATTAAGCCGGAGCTTGCTCTTTGTTTTTCTGCCTGTCCTCATAGAATGATAGGAAGATTAATTGAGCAGCATGTAATTTGCTGAGTAACTTACTGTGCCAGTCTGTAAGCAGCACTGCACTTCAGGAGCTGTGGTGTGGAGTGTGCCTTAACATGGCACAGGTAGGGTGTGGAGGGGCTCCGCTTTTCTTTGGAGCTCTGTCTCCCATTCTGAATAGGCCCAGTGATAATCAACCTTTGTAAGTCTCACCTGGGATGATGGAGCAGCTAACAGAAGGTCCTCATTGTACAGTTTCAAAAGGGTGGCATTGAAATCTTTTTGTTTTGTTTTGTTTTCTTTGGGACCCACCCAGTGGTGCATAGACCTTATACCTGGCTCTCTGCAAAGAGATCACACCTGGCAGAGCTCAGAGGACAGTACTGGATGCTGGGAATTGAACCCAGCCATATACATGCCTGTGTACTGTCTCTCTGACCTGTGGCTTGGCACAATCTAATAATATATCAGAAAGAAAGAAAGAGAGGGAGAAAGGGAGGGAGGAAGGAAAGAAAGAGGTACAGGGGCTGGAGAGATAGTATTGCAGGTAAGGTGCTTGCCTTGCATGTGCTCGACCTGGGTTTGATCTTCACATTCCATATAGTCCATGAACATATAGTCCATTAACACTGCCAGGAGAGGTCCCTGAGTGCAGCACCCAGATTAACTCCTGAGCATCGCCAGATGAGACCCCAAAACCAAAACCAAACAAAACGTACTTACAGAGTTGGAGTGATAGTACAGGGTGTAGGGTGCTTGCCTTGCATGCTGCTGACCCAAGTTTGAGCCCCATATGACCACATGGGCCCCTGAATCCACCAGGAATGATCCCTGAGTGCAGAGCCAGGAATAAGTCCTAAACACTGCTAGGTAAGACCCAAAAACAAACGAACAAAAACCAAAAAAATAGTACATACATTGAATGAAATGAGGACATGCTTTGAGAAGAACGGTGCCAATAAGCCTGCTCAATACATAGTTACTACAAACCTATAATTTGTGAGAATCATAAAATCTGTAATCACAGTAATATCCTTTATTGTATACTGAATCGTAATTTTAAAAATCATACTAACGAGATTTTTTTCAACTAATTTTTTTCACAATTTAGACTTTACCAACTTTTAGAAGGAGAAACTAAGAAAAAAGAATTATTTATAACTCATGGAAACCTTGAGAAAGCAGCTGAAAAATTTAAAACAGATGTTTCTTTAATACAAAATCAATTTGCAGTTTCTGCTCAGGAACATTTTTTTTTTCTATCCAAACTGAATAATGATGTGGACATGCTTTGTGATGCCCTGTATCAGGGAGGAAATCAGCTTTTGCTTAGTGATCAGGTGAGTTTGCCATGGTAATGAAAACAACATTTATTGTATTGTAAAAGGAAATACATAAGAAAAATATTTCCCCAAGTTCCATTGTCCTGAGATCAAATTTATTTTTCTCTTTTCACTGTCACTGTCCTCCCGTTGTATATCGATTTGCTCGAGCGGGCCCAGTAACGTCTCCATTGGAGACTTTTACATAGAATATTCTTTCCTTTTTTAAAAATGAATCACCTTTAATTATAAAGTTACAGTTATTCCTGATTTAGTTTCGGAGATACAATGTTCCAACGCCAATTTCTTCACCAGTGCCCACTTTTCTCCACCAGTGCCCCAAATTTCCTCCCACCCCCAAGCCATGTGTCTTTGGCAGGCATTTTTCCTTTTTAATCTCTTTTCAGCACTCTGTGTTCTCCAAGTACACAAAATTAAACACACACACTCATACACACATATATACATATATATAATTTGAGATATATTAACATATATAACGTTAATTTATATGTTAATCTAATATGTTAACATATGTGTTAATTGTATATAAGATAGATAACATATATACATATATTATTTTTTAGATATATTATTTTTTAAATATTTGGCCATACCCAGTGGTGCTCAGGGGTTAGTCTTGGCTCCTTGCAGTGTTTGGGGGGACCATATGTGGTCCTGGGGATCAGACCTGATCGGCTGCATGCAAGACAAGTTCTCTACCCGCTATATTATCCAGCCCCCAGAGTATAAGATATTTTAGACACAAGGATCTGTAATGCTTATACCAAAAATTAAAAGATAGGGGCTGGAGCAGTAGCACAGCGGGTAGGGTGTTTGCCTTGCACGCGGCCAACCAGGGTTCGATTCCCAGCATCCCATATGGTCCCCCGAGCACTGCCAGGAGTAATTCCTGAGTGCATGAGCCAGGAGTAACCCCTGTCCATTGCTGGGTGTGACCCAAAAAAGCAATAAAAAAGAAAATCAAGCTCTCCTGAAATTTTTTTCCTTGTTTTGAGCCATGTCTGCTGATGCTTAGGGGTTACTCCTGACTCTAAACTCAGGAATTATTCCTGGTGGTGCTCAGGGGACCATATGGAATGCAGGGATCGAACCTGGGTATCTGTGTGCAAAGCAAATAAATACACTACCCACTGTACTATCTGCCACTAAGAGTTATAGGTCTTGACGCTTATAACTCCTTTTGCAGCTTATCACTGTATATTTTTAGAACTTTTTAATCTTTAATCATTCCAAACAGAAACATTGCCCTTTTATTTTAGTTTTTGGGCCACAACTGCCTATGATCAGTGGTTACTCTTGGCTGTATCCTCAGAGATCACTCCTGATAGTGTCGGGGGACCATATGGGATGCTGAGGATCGAACCTGGGTAGGCTACATGCAAGCCTTACCCATTGCTGTTGCTCTGGCTCCCCCCAACACTCCCCTTTAAACAGGTATTCCCTATCCCTCCTAGGAAACCCTGTTTTCTTCTACTTTCTGTTTCTATGAAAATGCCTGTGTCTCTGTTTATTAGATGATCTATTAGATCCTTATCACCTATTTTTCTATTAATGTAGTCTCAGTGTGCCATTTTTTTTCCCTTTTTGGGTCACACCTGGCGATGCACAGGAGTTACTCCTGGCTCTGCACTCAGGAATTACTCCAGGTGGTGCTTAGGGGACCATATGGGATGCTGGGAATCGAACTCGGGTTGGCTGCGTGCAAGGTAAAGGCCCTACCCGCTGTACTATTGCTACAGCCCCCTCTCTGACACTTTTTTTTTTTTTGCTTTTTGGGTCACACCTGGCGATGCACAGGGGTTACTCCTGGCTCTGCACTCAGGAGTTACTCCTGGCGGTGCTCAGGGGACCATAAGGGATGCTGGGAATCGAACCCGGGTCGGCCGCGTGCAAGGCAAACGCCCTACCTGCTGTGCTATCTCTCCAGCCTCTCTCTGACACTTTTTAAAACAATTTTAATTAATTTTTTTAATTGAATCACCAGGAGATAGTTACAAAGTTGTTCATGATTGAATTTCAGTCATACAGTGTTCCAACACTGTTCTTCACCAGTGGACATTTCCTGCCACCAACATCCCCAGTTTCCCTCCCGCTTTCTATCTTTCCTCTATTGCTGACACTTTTTCTCTCGTTAATCCCCTTGTTTACTTTTAGGTATTGTAGTTTGCTATACTCCTACTGAAAGGTTATCATGGATATCACTTGAACTCCTTTTAGCACCTGGTTCTTGTCCAGATCCAGAGTGGTCATTTCCAACTGTCATTGTCATAGTGGTCCACGCTCCAGTCCTCTTTCCACACGCTTGGGTCGAGCTTCACATATGAGTGAACATATTCCTGGACCGTGACACATCATAAGACATTCTCTACTCATTTACCATAATTACCACACCATATTTGATGGGGTTCAGACAGTAGGCAACAAATTAATTCCTATACTCTCTCTTCAGCCCATAATTCTGTTGACTGTATCAGTAAAAGAAATAAGCAAAAATGTAGACTTTTGTTGATGTAATTCTTTTTTTGTTGGCAATTGACTCATTCCTAAGCTTTCTTAGTATCTCCTAAGACTAGCATAAACAGATAAGACAAGCAAGTAGGTTCAAATAAATTAATAAATTAAGTAAAATGTAGACTGGGGAGGGAGGTGAATTTAAAAAAATTACTACATTTTCTAAAACAGTGCTTGGCATATTTGTTGAATATTTGAACATACAGAATAGTTTATATACCAGGTACTCTTAAGGAAGCAAGAGATTTTACATTGAGTAACTAAAGTGCCCATCAGAAATTGTTGCAATTGATCTTACATGGAGTTTATACTAAACATACTATAACTTTTTTTTTTTTTTGCCACACATCCAGTGATGCTCAGGGATCACTCCTGAAGATGCTGTGAGACCAGATGGGATATCAGGGATTGAACCTAGGTCAGCCACATGCAGTGCAGAGCAAGCTCCCTACCCACTGTACTGTACCTTCAGCCCCAAAACTACTAAGACTTCTAATTAATGTTTATTTATTGTTAAGATTGTGAGAATAGTTATTAAATAATTGATATTAATTCTATGTAAGTTACATTCAAAATTTTTAATGTCCTAAATAGAGCTCTTGCATTAAAGCATTTTTATTTTCCTTTTAGGAGTTAATGGAGCAGTTTCATCAAGTGGAATCTCAAATGAATAAGCTAAATCATCTTTTTACTGATATTCTTGCTGATGTGAAGACAAAAAGGAAAATGTTGGCATCTAATAAGCTCCATCAAATGGAAAGAAAATTATATGTATATTTCTTAAAGGATGAAGATTATCTGAAAGAGATTGTGGAGAATTTAGAAAACCAATCAGAGATTAAGGCTATTGGTCCGGAAGACTGAAAATTACTAAAAACTAAATCTTCACTATATGTGCTATACTTTAATGCTTTATATACAGAAGAATATAGTTTAATAAAGTCACTAAACTTAAATTTAAAGTCAGCCAAACATTTTCTTTAATGAATTTGGTTTTTTCCTTATTCAATAACATTATGTATTCAGAGTCCCTGAGCTTGGAGAGTGTACAGCCCTTACCACTGTGCTGTCTCTGACCCCTTATGCAGTAACCTTCTATGAAAGTCTCAGTACATTCCATTCTCAAGTGACTTGTTTCTTATTTCGAAGTCAGATTTAATATGTGGGTGTTATGTTTATCTTATGTTTAGGGTTTTATGAAAATGGAAAATTATGAAAGTTGTAACTTTTGGTGTCTGTAAGATACCGCTTTCCAGTGTTGCTCAGAAGATTATGTCTGCTCTACATTCAGGTGATTTAGTGGAGTCTAAGAATTGGAGAGTGAAAAGAGTGAGTAATTTTTATGAGTTTTTCTATTTTTTGTTGGGCTGGAGTGATAGCACAGTGGTAGGGCGTTTGCCTTGCGCGCAGCAAGCCTGGCCGAGCCAGGTTCGATTCCTCCACCCCTCTCGGACAGCCTGGGAAGCTACTGAGAGTATTCAATATGCCAAACACAGTAACAAGAAGTCTCATAATGGAGACGTTACTGGGCCTGCTCGAGCAAATTGATGAACAACGGGAGGACATACAATACTATACTATTTTTTGTTAAGAAAGTTAATTGTTTTTTAGACAAAGGTTTGAAAGTTTGAAGATATAGCCCAATGGGCTGAAGCACATGCTTTGCATACAGGAGGCCTGAGTGCTAGCCCAGCTCTTCATGGTTCCCTGAGCACCATCAGGAGTGACCTGAACCCCTCTGGATATGTTTTTAAACCAAACCAAACCCAAACCAAAAAATATTGTTTGAAAATAAAATATAGCAAAATTATTCCATAGAAAGTTTTATATAGTGCAACTCCTGCATACAAAGAAATTGAACCTGTGTCCTTTTCACTATGTTTGGTGACTGATATGCTTATTAAATTCTACAGTTTATTAGTTTTTTAAAAATGTCATGCAGTGGGGCTGGATTAAGACAGTATAGGGTTAAGACAGTTATCTTGCACATTGTCAGCTTTGAATCCCTAGCACCCCATGTGACCCCCCCAAAACCTTTCAGGAGTGATCCTTGAACACAGAGCCAGGAGTAAGCCCTGAGAACTGGGTGTAGCCAAGAAAAAAAAAAAACCAAACAACTAAAAAACAAAAGCAGGGTTACACACTGTCACTTTGACACATGTATCTGTCAGATGTTTCCTTAGAATAAGAGATCAGATCTTTTTTTGGGTTTTGGGTGGCCTCCTCCCAGTCTGGTGCTTAGGGGCTGCTCCTCTAAATGCTGGGGTAGGGGTGGAGGCCATGTAGAGATGGAATCTGGGCCTTCTTCACGCAAAACTTCTACTTGAGCCCTTTGTGCCATCTCCCCTACCCTGGATAGAGCATTAATTAAAAAAAGGTGTGTGTGCGTGTTCTTTCATAGTACCTCTTGTTTTATTTGGCCTTAGGTAATTGAACCTTATATGTCATTCACTTACTGTATGTGGTGTACAAAGGAGCCTTTTTGACAGTTCTGTGTATTATACTGCTTTAGGAATAAGCTACATAACTATTACAAGGCACAGGTCAGGGGAATCCCTCTGTTTAGCAAGTGTGATAAAATAAATGCAAGCACTGGCTGACATGCTCAAGTGTGACTGAAATGTTTGGGATTGTCAGTCTCTACTCACTGCTAGCAAACAGGTTTTTAAGTTTGGGCCAATACTTTGTTCTTTCTTATATCTGTTAGGGCGCGGATCGTGATCTCCCTTTAACGACAAAGAGACTCCAGAGACTGCAAACAGCAAGCAAGGTTTATTGTAAGACTGGCTAGCCAGGGTCAAGCCGCGTACACAGACACGCAGGTCAGTTAGGTGAGGCAAGACCCCGAACTTCTTCAAAGGGGATCTTATATAGGCCTTCACTGGCCATTACAGCAAAGCCCGCGCATTTCATAGCCAATAGATTTGTAACAACATATGCTTTCTTAACCAATCCAATTAAGGGTACATCACTTCTTAGCCTATAGTTTAAAGATCAGCATTTTGCGTCAGTGCTTAGGAACTGACAGGTTTTTAAGGCAGTCCTGGGTCTTGCAACATGGGTCTTGTGAGAGACATCCGGTTATCTGGTCTGACCCCCACCCTTCGAGTACCTGTATCTGAATTCCTTGGTCAGGGGCAGAAAAACCAGTTATTTTGCAGTGCAGGCTCCTATAAAGCGGATCTGAAAAAGCTTATCTAGACCTGTTCCTTGAAAAACAAGTTATTTTGCAATGCAGGTTCCTATTAAGCTAAGCTAAATTAATTCTGGTGGTAGTCCATTTTGGGCCTGTCCCTTACAATATCTTTTGTTTTTCTTTTTTCTTTTCTTTTGGGGGAGAGCATACCTGGAGGTGTGCAGGATTGCTTCTGGCTCAGATCTCAGGGATCACTGGTGATACTGGACAAATAACCTACTCACTATACTATCTCTCTGACCTGTTTGTTTCTTTTCTACAGTGTATGTTAAGTAATAAAATAGAGATGAAATAGTTTTTTTTTTTTTTTTTTTTTTTTTTTGCTTTTTGGGTCACACCCGGCAACGCACAGGGGTTACTCCTGGCTCTGCACTCAGGAATTACCCCTGGCGGTGCTCAGGGGACCATATTCGATGCTGGGAATCGAACCTGGGTCGAACGCGTGCAAGGCAAACGCCCTACCCGCTAAGCTATCGCTCCAGCCCCAGAAATAGAATATTAACAGTGCAAAAACCTTACAGTTTCTTGATTAAGAAGTTAAACACGGGACTGGAGTGATAGCACAGCAGGAAGGCTCCATGCGGTTGACTCGGGTTCGATCCCTGGCAACCCGTATGTTTCCCCAGCACTGCCAATACTGCCAGGAGTGATTCCTGAGAGCATCACTGGGTGTGATCCAAAACGCCAAAAAAAAAAAAAAAAAGAGACTCTCCATAATCACAGACTCGGTGCTAAGTGTGAAAAATTATAGAGCTCCAGAGAAGGTTGGAGTCTGTCATGGAAGGGCAACTCCCTCAAATTCAGAGCCTGAGAAACCAGACTCAAAGGTGTGGGATTGGGGGATGGGGAGTTTTGCACAGTGAACTGTGTTCTTCCCTTGCACACGGCTGACCTGTGTTCAAGTCCCATCACCACATAGAGTCCCCCAAACTCTTCTAGTAGTGATCCCTGAGTGCAGCCAGGTATGGTCAAAAAATAGGATTTGGGATGGAGACATCAGAATTAGTGTACTTAACAAATCAGATGAGAAAATTACATAGAAGCCAACTAAACTCAAACAAAAATAACAGGATTCAACTAGCAACAAACAGCTTAGTAAATTATTAGACAAGGACTTAACAACCTCATGATGAGATAATGACAATTTTCACATAAAAGAAGTTTATATCTATTTTAATATTGGAGCTTTCTTATCTAATCAATTTTATTTTTATTTCTTTCAAATGTAGGAGTATTGTCATTTATTCGGTGATTGATTAAGCTGTCTAATCAATTTTAATTCTAGGATTATATCAATGTGACTTTTGTCTAAAATAAATTAGTTTTAAAATGTGTTTGTAAAGGAAAGCCTCTTTAACAAATTGTGCTGGCAGAACTGGACGGCTACGTGCAAAAAAATGGGCCCAGAACTCTGCCTAACACCATGTACAAAAGTAAGATCAAAATGGATTAAAGACCTCAACATCAGACAAGAAGCCATAAGGTACATTGAAGGCAAAGTTGGCAAAACCCTCCATGATATTGAGGCTAATGGTATTTTCAAAGATGCCACGCCACTGGCCGAGCAAGTGAAAACAGAGATAGATAAATGGGACTATCTTAAACTAAGAAGCTTCTGCACCTCAAAAGAAACAGTGACCAAAATACAAAGACAGTCTACAGAATGGGAAAGGATATTCACCGAATACACATCTGACAAGGGGTTGATATCAAGGATATACAAAGTACTGGTTGAACTCCACAAGAAGAAAACATCCTACCCCATCAAAAAATGGGGCAATGAAATGAACAGAAACTTTCTCAAAGAAGAAATCCGAATGGCAAAAAAGCACACGAGAAAATGCTCTACATCATTAATCATCAGGGAGATGCAGATCAAAACCACAATGAGATACCATCTCACACCTCATTCAAAAGAACAAAAGCAACCGATGCTGGTGCGGATATGGCAAGAAAGGGACACTCCTTCACTGTTGGTGGGAATGTCGACATGTTCAACCCTTTTGGAAAACAGTATGGACGATTCTCAAAAAATTAGAAATTGAGCTCCCATTTGACCCAGCAATACCACTCCTGGGAATATATCCCAGAGAGGCAAAAATGTATAGTCGAACTGACATCTGCACTTGTTTGTTCATTGCAGCACTCTTTACAATAGCCAGAAACTGGAAGAAACCTGAATGCCCACGAACAGATGACTGGTTAAAGAAACTTTGGTACATCTACACAATGGAGTACTATGTAGCTCTTAGAAAAGATGAAGTCATGAAATTTACATACAAGTGGTACAATTTGGAAAGTATCATGCTAAGCGAAATGAGTCAGAAAGAGGGATAGACATAGAAAGATTGCATTCATCTGGGGGATATAAAGTAAGGTAAAGGTAAAGGCCCTCCCGTTGATCGTCGATTTGCTGGAGCGGGCCCAGTAACGTCTCCATTGGAGACTTTGTTGTTACTGTGTCTGGCATATCAAATACTCTCGGTAGCTTGCCGGGCTCTCTGAGAGGGGCGGAGGAATCGAACTCAGGTCGGCCATGTTGGCCGCTTGTAAGGCGAACGCCCTACCCGTTGTGCTATCGCTCCAGCCCATCTGGGGGATATAAAGTAACAAAATATGAGATTAATACCCAAGAATAGCTGAGATCAACACCAGGAGGATTACTCCATAGCTTAGAGGCCAGCCAGGTATTCTAGGGGGAGGGGGCAGTTCAGATAGAGAAGGGAGCACCAAATAAAGGGTGTTTGGAGGATCCTCCCAGGAGGGGAGATGCATGTTGAAAGTAGACTATGGACTGAACATGTTTGCCACTCAATGCCTCTTTTGAAGACCACAACACCCCAAAGGAGAAAGAGAACAAAAGGGAATGCCCTGCCACAGAGGCAGGGTGGGATGGGGGGGGGGGGGATGAGGGGGGGAGGGATATTATCCATGGTGGTGGAAAATGGGCACTGGTGGAGGGATGGGTATTTGATCATTGTATAACTGAAACCCAAGCACAAAAATTTGTAAATCTGCAACTGTACCTCATGGTGTTTCACTAATAAAAATAAAACAAACAAACAGACAAAAAAAACGTGCTTAGGGGCTGGAGAGATAGCACAGCGGGTAGGGCATTTGCCTTGCACGCGGCCGATCC